GACCTGTGCTGGGAGCAATTGTCTCTATACAGAAGAAGAAATCCAAGACCTAGTCAGTTCAGTCAGTGAGGGCTGAAGAGAAAGTAAGGCCCTCTGAACAGGAGGAAGAAGCAAAGCCAGAGATAATCACCTGATCCTTATCCCTGGGTTATCAGCAAGATATGCGAAAATATTACAGACAGAAACTTCAGCTGCCAGTTGGGTGAGCCTCTGGTGATCTGGCTGCTCCAGTGCTGGGATATCATAGCTCATGATATGAATCTAGATGGTAGTGAACCCAAACAACTGGGAGCCCTGTTCTGAGACATGGGCATTGRTAAGGGGATTGTGCAGAAACAGAAACTTTCAACCTCTAGAGGTGACTTCTGTCACACCTGAGGGAAGGATGATGTATTATTGCACCAATACAAGTGGAACACCATGGAGYAAGATATTCTGAGAGAATCAGCTGTGCTGAAGGTACTCTATTCAAGTAATGAGAAATGCCCTATAAATCCAGATGAAGTCCAGTGTACACAAACCATGTGGCTGAAGATCCTACAGAGCATGCCTTTGCCTTATGCCAACTTATTGGCAGTGATATAATGGAAAGAGAACAAAGAATTATTTGGTTACCTCCTTCATATACCTGGAGTTTGGTATCTCCTTCCCACTGTGGGTCTGCATCTTGCCTGTGGAAAGACTTTCCAAGAACTTCCAGCAATTTAAAGAGGACTACCAGCAATTTAAAGAAGTGCCCTATGCCCTGCTGGTACACACCAGTCTCTACTATTAGGGGCAAACACCGCCCTGCTCAAGAGAGAGTTCACTCCATGAAGAAACTTGTGGTTTTACCTGCACGACCACGGAGAGGACATGASGAGGTGGGATGGAAAATCCATCTCTGCCCTGGCAGCAGTTAAGTTGAGAGGAAGAACAACCMCTGCAGCAAAGTCTTCAAGGAAAAATGCAGCTCCTGTTTCCAGTGGGCAAGTCGTCAKATAGAATGCAAGAGTTGTTGCTATTTYCAGTCTTYTTGAAGGGACMTCYAGTTCATATTTACARGAGGTGAGCARTGAGTACTATGACCAGAACTAGARGGATCCTGTCTCCACCAGGYRGAGGAAAGGGACAGTCAGATCTATTGGACTGTACAGAGCCGTGATCTGGCACATCAGACCCACAGGAGTGTAAGGCTCTAGTTGACCATGGGCTCTCTGATGCCATTGAGATATGTAGGGGCAGAATCCATCTCTGTATCTGGGGTGGCAGGGACATTGCAAAAGTTGGCTGTTCTGGAAGCTGAAATGAGCCTCACTGGGAACAAATGGCAAATACACCCCACTGTGACTGGTCCAGAGGCCCTATATATATCCTCAGCATAGATTGCCTCACCAGAGGGTATTTCAAGGACTGAAAAGGGTATTATTGGGCCTTTGGTATAGCTGCTGTGGAGACAGAAAAAGTTACACTGCTGAATGCCTTTCTTGACCTCTCAGGAGAACCCCTCTGCTGTGGGACTGCTAAGGGTCAGAGAACAAGAAGTACTGATGGTTGCCACAACAGTGCACCATCGACACCAACTGGGGCTCTGTGATCCCCATCCATGAGCTGATGTGTGAACAGGAGAGCCAGGGAATGCTCAACAAGGCTTGCTTACCCTTTATTAGTCCAGTGTGTAAGTGCAATGTACAGTGGAGATCAACAGTAGACTGTCGTGGCCTGAATGAAGTTGCACCATCACTAATGTGGCTGTGCCAGACATGCTGGAACATACAGAGTCCAAGGCAGCAAAATGGTGCCACCATCAACACTGCCAATCTGTTTTTCTCCATTTCTTTAGCAGCAGAGTGCAGCCACTGTTTGTGTTTATCTGGAGGCATGTGCAGTACACCTTAAACTGACTGTCCCCAGGGTGGAAGCACAGTCCTGCTATTTGTCATGGACTGATCCAGACTCCACTGGAAAAGGGTGAGACTCCAGAAAATTTGCAGTTGATGACATCACTCTATGGGGCAACACAGCAGAGAAAGTTTTTGAGAAAGGGGAGAAGATAATCCAGATCTTCCTTGAAGGCTGTTTTTTCATAAAACAAAGTAAGGTCAAGGGATCTGCCCAGGAAATTCAGTTKTTAGGACTAAAATGGCAAGATGAACATGTCAGATTCAGTGGWCATGGTTAACAAAATAGCAGCTCTGTCCTTGCCAAGMAGCAAGAAGGAAACACAGATTTTCTAGGTGCTCTGGGTATTTGGAGGATGCATATTCCAGATAACAGATTATAAGCCCTCTCTACCTTGGGACATGGAAGAACGATTTTTAAGTTGGGTGCTGAATAATGACAAGCTTTTGAACAAATTTAACAGGAGATTGTTCATGTAGTAGCCCTTGGACCAGTCAGGACAGGACAAGATGTAGAAGACATGCCTTACWCCGCAGCTGGGGAGCACTGCCCTTCCTGGAGTCTCTGGCAGAAGGTACCYGGAGAGACTTGAGGATGACTCCTGGGKTTCTGGAATTGGGGATACAAAGGATCTGAGACCAGCTATACCACAGCTGAGAAAGAGATTCTGGCTGCTTATGAAGGGGTTTGAGYTGCTTTGGAAGTGATKTGCGCTGAAGCACAGCTCCTCCTGGCACCCTGTCTGCCARTGCTGGGCTGGATGTTCAGAGGGAAAGTCTCTGCCACACATCATGCCACTGCTGCTGTGTAGATGCTATGCTATGCTCCTATCACGCAGTGAGCTTGTATAGGAAACATGAATCAGCCCRGGAAGTCATCGCCAATCGTGAAAGTTATCACAAAGTGGCCTGAAGGTGAAAATTTCAAACTTGTCAGARGATGWTGGGTGYACTTGGTGGGTAATCAAAAGAGGRATGGGGAAATATGATGTGTCCCTCAAAGGGATTTGATTTTTGGGTGAGAACAGTATGCAATGTTGTCTTGTATAATATTGGTTGCTGAATGACATTGCCACYGTGTGCTGTAACTGCCGTGTGCAATGAGTATGGACTGCTGTAGTTACAYGGGTTGTGAGCTCCTGATGCAGCAACCAGCCAACAGCAAACCAGCCCTCCTGCTCTTGAGGACATCTAGAATGGAYAGAACCCACAGTCATGGAGTAAATGAATTCAGCAGTCATTTTGGAGGGACAGCCACTGACTATGGAAATGATACCYGTGCTTCTCCACGTTTATRTGTATATATATGTGTATATAACTGGAAGGTGTAGCATTTGGGCATCATAGATGAGTAGGGGTTCCTTCTCCTTGAGAAAACATGGCATGGTAAGCCGTACTAAGTATTTGTTTATGGTCACAGGCTTTCTGTGTCAATTGTTTGTTTTTATTACACCTTTTGTTACTAATACTGTTGCTGTTACCATTTGTTTTCTTATCTCATTGCTGTTTTCAGTCAATTGTTTCTATCTCAACCTGTAATCTTTGCCTCTTGTACCTCCAATTTTCAACTCCATCCACCCCAGAGGAAAGGGAAAGGGGAGGGGAAAACAGGTGAGGAAAAGAGTGGAATGGTGGGTTTTGTGGKTTCAGGGAGCAGTGAACTGGGGAGTATCATTCCTAAACTATGACAGTTGATTAAGATTTGGAGGCTTTGAGTGTGTTTTTTTTGTTATGTTTGTATGTAGATATGGGTAGCTCAAACCTAGTCAGTAGAATAAGATAATCCTCTCTTGGTTTTGACTGCCTGTCAGTTTAGAAATTCCAAGCGTTTGCGTAATACTAAGGCACATTTACCTTTGATATTATTTTATTAATTGTATTGAGAAACTGAAATAGTAGCAATTAAGAAATGCCCCGTGGGCAGCATCCTTTTATATTAGGGAGAGGATTAATACCAAAAATACAATTTGTATCTAACAATCRGGGTGTGTTTATCAATGTTCTGTGAATGCAAACACTTTTTGGAGGTGCATCTGCTRTTAGAATGCAGGAAACTGTTAGGAACTTTTAACTGCAACCTTAACTGTTGATTCCTTGTGCTGAGTAGTCTTGTGTGTCTAGGTATAACAAACAAATCATTGGATAATCAGAGAACACAACAAGAAATTCCTGGATTAAAGTTGGCAAATCCTGCTGTTCTGCCAGCACCCCAGAAAGCAGATGCCAGCCGTGGAGACTACCCTGAGCTTTCACCRCAGGTACTACTCTGAGAAGAAATTAGGTTTCTAATGCTACAAGGAATTTATGAAGGCAAATAGTGCTTGGCTCCAAGTTGTTGTGGAGAAAGGAGTTAGCACTTGAAATAAAAGTGTGCTCTTGGTGGAATGCTCTCCTTTCAGGAAGGACTTTGGTGTAGTGTTTCTTTGCTTTATCTTTTTTATTTACATGTTCTGTATGCTCTTTCTTACTGCTCTGCCCAGGAATGCCAGGACTTTAGGTCAAAGTGACCTCTTACTCGAGGCCTTCACTCCTGCTCTGYGCATCAGTCTCCACTGGTGTGAAGAGCCTGGAGTCATGGTTTATCTGGGAGCTTGAGAACTATCAATGGAAAGAGCAGATGATAAGGTTTGAAGGGTTACATTTGTGGGGAATGCAGTGGGAAAGGAACATCAACTGACTGAGTGGATTAGTGAAGCAGAGGAATACTGGTTACTGTGTTGCTCGTCATGGATTTGCCTCATTAATTTGGGGATTTTCAGTTAATGAATACAAAATTTTGTATGAAATCTTTTCTTCACCGTGCACAAATGTACATGTRTTACTTATAGTAATTCTTGATATTTGCACTGGTGTTGTGTAAACATTTTTTTTGCGTTCTTTTTGCTGATTCTCATAAATTTACTGTGCCTAGTAAAATGGAATCAAGTATCTTTACAACCTTTTGTCATTTCCTCTGTTAAATTAATACCTGGTAGCAGTAGAGGTAGTTTAAAAGTAATATATCAGTATAAACTTAAGAACTGGATAATTTTACCAGAAGTTTAAAGCAAATAAAACCACAAGGTCTTTAGTATGCCTTCCATTCAGGTCAGAATTTGCCTGCTGGAAAACAAACAAAATAAGATTTATCTGAATTTATATTTAATATTGGAATGCTGTTGAGTTGTGGTTTGAAATTTTACCATCTCTGCAACTTACCAAGCATTTTTTTTCCCTTTATATTCTCAGAAGCCACCGAAACTGCCTCATGTTCGTCGTGGTCCTTCCAATCTTCAGATCAAGGCACCACGGAGAGAGACGAGGCTGAAGACCYTACGTGGTACTGTTAAAGCTGTGGAAGAGCTGGTTGAAGCTGATAAAGCAGAGAAAACAGAAAAATCCGTTATCAGGTAGAAATGTTTCAGGCAAAGTACAGTGCTTCTCCCTTGCCCCTGCCAAGATCCACTRAGTGTTGGAGTGAAAATGTTAAGGATTTTCTGTTGTCTGTGTCTGAGGTTGTTTTCTTCTTTGCATAGGTTTGTTCTCAGGTCTGGTGTGAAAGCTGCTGATACTGCTAGCTGATATTGCTAGGCTGATAGATTTCATTTTGATGAATGTGCAGTTTCTCTGCTTTTACTCTTTGCAWCACATAGCTGCAGAGGATTTGAAGCCCTGCAAGGCTGGCTGTATTTCTAATGCACTTTGACCCTCTGARTATTCAGAAGGATTCTCAGTGTCCAGAGGTTTCTGCTGTTTGTTGTAGTTARTGTTAGTGTAACAGTATCAATATAATAGTGCTGCTACAAGTGTCTTTGTCCTGGGCCAGGATTGGAAAGTGATAGCAGTGTCCCTGCTGGTTGTGTGTTGGTGCCACCAAACACAGTGAGCCCAGGCTGAAAAGGCAGAAGCCACAGATGCATATGTAGTGGTGTGTGTGTAATACCATGTGCTTACTTCTTTCTTACAAGGTATCCCTTATACAGATCTAGTAGTATCTTTAACAGAGGGTCTATACCTCTATGGTTATAGAAGTGTTTTGATTTGGGAATAAGTGAAGGAAAGTAACATGGCTATAGAAGAGACTGCTAAAAGTTCAGCAGAGCTTCTTCAGATTTGAAACACRAGGCTTAGGGGTCTTATGTGTTTGTGTTTTCTTTGGCACTGGCTCAGATAAGTTCTTATTATAGCATCAGAACTGTGCCTRCTTCAGCATTTTGGTTGTCAGTATTGTCTGAAAGTGTTTTATTGTTTCGCTTTTGCTTGTGCTTGACTCAAACTAGTGGTAACAAGAGAACTTACAAGCGCAATGAAGACATAGTGAAGATTAGTTATAAATTTAAAGAATGAAAGTAAGAAATTGAATATGGCATTTATCTAAGTCAGAAGATATGCTGACTGTAAACAATGTACACTCTAAAGGTCCTGTAAACTTGGTTCCCTTAGGAAGCATTCAATGAACTCAAAGACAACACACCTATATAATAAATGGTTATGGTCAAGATTGTTTGATCTTGATATGARCTTGGCTTGACGTGGAGTCCATTCTGAAAGACTTCTCATTCAGGAGATTMTTCATAAAAACCTGTAAAGACTGATTTATGCATCTGTGATGGCAGAGAGGGCTTATGATCCCTTGATAGCAAAATYAGCACTTTGAGCATCTCATCCTTTGTGCTTAATCATGAGTTTTGGTGATCATCATTTGTGTGGTAGTATTTAGCATTAATAGCTACTGTGGTAATTTCAGAGCTGGTAGATTATAAATTGCTTGTAGTAAAGCATTTTCAGGTGTTTGATTTATTTTAAGAAGTCTTTTCTTAAATTCCATTGCAAAGATACTTTATGAAATTTTGAGAGCTTGCAACACACATTTCWTAATTCTGTAAAATTTCTCTGCAAAGAAAATTTCTTTCTTTGAATAGAAAACTTATCCAGTGGATAAGTGGATATTTTGATCCTTGATACAAAATTTAACTTTTGTTTTATGAAATTATTGTGTGATAAAGGAAATGCAGACATAAATCCCATTCATTTCCATGACTTTCTGTGAGCAAARTAAGTCTTAATTACAGTCCCTTGTATTTGCAGTTGGAGAGGAGCAGTGATAGAACCTGACCAAAACACTGAACCTCCATCCMCTAAAATAAAGGAATCAGAAAAACCTTCATCTGTGGAAGCTGAAGACCAGAAAGAACCAGGTAAATAGGGCAGCTTATGACACCGTTTTTTTTTGTTTGCTTTTATGGTTGAAGTTGTGCAATTTCTCCCCATACACATTGTTTTATTTACTTACTTTGATTAAAGGAAACAAAAAGTGTAAGAGAGATTCTTACCTAGAACATCCTAATTTTTCAGTGTCCTCATTTCATTACGACAGCCTTCATGCTTATTAGCCTTCATAATTTGAAAATAAATTTTAGAGACAAATCTTCCAAATATAGCCTCTGGGAGGACAGGATAATCTAAAAAGGGRAGGCATAAAAGAGCTTCTTTTTCAGCTGTGGCTTTCCTTTTGTTCTGCAAATACAGGGAAAGTGGCTTCCTCCCTGAGCTAAACGGAAATGTTTTTGAGGCTCACCAGAAAGTTGCAGAAGTTGTTTTTGAAGTTGCTGCACTTGTGGAACAAAGAACGTGTTGTTCCTTTTTCTGGGTTCAGAAAAGAAACCAGGAAGTTTTGGTGTTTGCTCTTTTGCAAGCTTAATATTTATAGGTTTAGTTATACTACTTGATGTTTCTTAGTCTAGAAGTATTTATTCATAATTTTCCAAAATTTTGGCTATTGGGCTTGAAATTTTTTGTGTTCGATATGTAACATAAACTCCGTGGCAAATTGCAAGAAAAATATCATTAGAGCTATGGAAAAACATATGGTTTTGCCAAGATGGAAAATGTAAATTTTCTTTGTATTTTGGTATTAAATAGAAAGTCCAATAGAAATAATACTGTAGAAATTATTTTTAACAGAAAGCAGTTAATAAGAGGAGGAAGATGAAGAAAAAAAAGTTACATGTTGAATTAGCTGAGGATTTTATTGTTAAGCATATATATTCATCACCTGAATTACCATGGATCTTAATCTGCTATTTCCTGACTTTCATCTCTTTGAGCTTCAGTGATACTCATCTGCAGCTGTGCATGTGATTATTTTAATGTTTTATTTGCAGAAGTAATAATTTTGTTGCCAGGGGGAGATCTCTGTTTTCACTTGGCTGAATTGCTGACTAAAAACACCGACTGGTTATTCTACAGAGGAAAGGCTGTTCTGAAAAKAATAATGTGAGCATGGTTCTTCCATTGCTCTGATCAGTTAGTTTGGAAGAATCTGTGTTTTGGGTGGAATGCTGTGTAGTGCAGTTCCATAGTGCCCTGCAGAAGTCCTGCCCAAGGTGCTGTTTCTCTCTGTAGTGCCCATCAATGAGCGCCAGCTCGCTGTGATTGAAGCCTTCCGCCACGCCTGGAAAGGGTACAAGGATTTTGCRTGGGGCCATGATGAGCTGAAGCCTTTGTCCAAGTCCTACAGTGAGTGGTTTGGACTTGGACTTACCTTAATTGATGCCTTGGATACCATGTGGATTTTAGGCTTAAAAGAAGGTATTTTTTTTTCCTCTTCTATTTTTTTTCCCTCTAAAATAATTCCCCAATTTCTCTTCAGGCAGTGCATGTTCAGAGTTCTTTGAGGGGAATATTTATTACAAGWGGCCTTTAAATTTAGCTTTCCTTTGAGGGTAAATACGTACATATGTGCATACATACACATATAAATATACAGTGTATATATCTTTATATATCTATATATCACACCTAATATCAATATTTCATGCATGGATTTAAGATGACTGTTTCTGTAAGGAATCCATGGGTGGATAATCAATACCTCCTTCCTGAATTGTTCTGCTGTCTGTAGTTTTGAGTTATTCTGGAAGTGACCTGATTGAAAACGTTCAAACAGATTTTAAAACCCAAGGCAAAAAATTTTTCAATTCTGTTGCAGAAAAACTTAAATGCTTAATTAGTGTTTAAGACCATTTTTTATTGGTGGTTGTTTGGGTTGGTTGGTTTTTGGGGTTTTGTGGTGCTAAGGGTTTTTTAGTTGTATTAAATATTAAAAAATTTCTGGAACTCTATCTGTTTAACCATGGTAGATAGCCACCTTTTTAAACTTTTATTAATCATGCAGCCTTTTCTGTCAAGATAGTAAGAACAGATCTGCCARTGAGGGTACATAAATGCTCAAAGTCTTTCCTGGTTCTGTCTCTTCTACTTTCAAAATTTGTGAAAAGTTATACATCGTGTATGCAGCTCTAGGCCTGAGCAAACTATCTTGAAGTTTCATCAAGATGTCAGTGCACTGTTCTGTTTTTTCCCAAAAATTGTGAACTGAGTAGAGCTTTTAAAATAAATTATTAGTATTAGGCATGTGTTGAAAAGGGGTTCTTGGTGAGGGTTTCTTCGTATTTTATATCAGTTATGCAGATTGAGTTAGAAAGCTCTTGGGGCTTCTTCTGAATAACAAATGCTATGTAAATGCAAGTTCTGTTTGAGGCTGCCAATCTTTCTTATCAGCTGATGAATGCAAAAGCTTCTGTGGGAGATGACTCTGCTTTTACTGTTGTACTGTTGACAACACTGACTGGGAGATTTTTTGTAATTTTTSTCAGTGTGCCCAACATCCATTATTTGCTCAGCATCCGAGACTAGAAGGCRCAAAGGCATCCATTTGCTTTAGAGTTTATCTCCTAAGGAATGCCTTCCATTTCTGGCAAACTGATTGTTCTGCTGCATCTCACAAGCAGCAGTTTCTGGAAGCTGTAAGATCTCTGAGACAGCTCAGCTTCCAATTGTGAGGGCTGAGCTGACTCACGTGCACCATGGAGAGAGGCTGTGTGTCAAAGCAGTCATTGAGTGATGCTGCTGCCAAGCTGGTTAATGAATCTAATATGGCTTTTTTTTAAACTTTTTTTTTTTTTTTTAACTGGTAGTGTGATAGACAATGATTTTTGTTTCTAGAGCAAAAAATTGCAACTACTTGGGATTTTGGGCATTAGGAACAGGAARCAGGCTCCTGAGGACATTGCTAGGCTAAAGCTATTAACTGAAAATATTATCTGTTGTCTTGGAAGATAACAGATTTAATGAAAATATTTAAGAAGTCTTTAAGAGAAAGATTTAATTAAAACCAGAAGGCTTTGTGGAAGTGTAACTAATTGTTTGACAAGTCAAATGGATGGATTTTAAAGATTTTAATTTCTGGACTATTTAAATAAAGAATTCCTCTATTTCTTCTTAAACTGTTAAGGACTTCTGTTTTGGTGGATATTTCTGTCTGTATGCATCTGTGGTGTGTTCTGAATAAGAATTAAGCCAATGGTAATCAAACTTCTGCCAGCACGTGCTCTTCATTTTAATTTCCACCTAAAATTGTCATCTTTGTAKAAAAATGTAACTGTCATAGATATATGGAGTACTCATGTCTGTAGTTGTTGGAATATGCCAGAAGCTCATGACTGAACTACCTTTTATGCTTTGCAGAGTTTGAAGAAGCAAGAAAATGGGTAGCAAATGATTTAGTATTTGATAAAAATGTGGATGTGAATCTATTTGAGAGCACTATCCGTATCCTGGGCGGTTTGCTGAGCACCTACCACCTCTCCAGAGATAGCCTTTTCCTGGAAAAAGCTGTGAGTGACTGGCCTYGCAAATGTGACTTGGTTATGTATTCCATATTGGACAGAGATGAGGGAAGATTCCTCAGAAAGTTACATGTTGCTGGTTTTTAACAGTTTCACATTTAAAGTGGTGGGAAAGGCATTCACCATTATGCTATGAAGCCTGCACCTCTGCTCTCTGTACAACCTCAAAGCCTTGTTGTGATTGTCACCTGTTCTTCTGCTGATGAATGGCTGACCATCATAAAGTTCATGAAACAAAAGAAGAAATAAATGATTGGCAAAGGGTAATAGTTGTCTTTTGTTGCTCTTTCTGTGTGTCTTAAGAGCATCAGCCAGCTCATCAGATTAGCYAGATCAGCCAGTGAATGCATCATAGGAGTTTCAGCTTCAGATGAGGCCTGCAATGCTAAGGACAAGGTGGAAACTGCTCATTACTATGAATAAGTTCATGACTTTTAAAATTACTTTARTTGCTTGCATCATCTAAAACCAAGCTTCTGTTCTATCTTGTTTCTGTCTGCTTTGTGAAGAAAATCTGATGGGATGTGCATATGTATGTATTTACTTTTGTTTTGTTTGTTTTGTCCTGTGTTCCTGGGTTTTCTTTAGAAAGACATTGGAAACAGGCTTATGCCAGCATTCAAGACCCCCTCCAAGATCCCATAYTCTGATGTCAACATTGGTCGAGGCACTGCACATCCCCCTCGCTGGACMTCTGATAGCACTGTGGCAGAGGTGACCAGCATTCAGTTGGAGTTTAGGGAGCTCTCTCGTCTAACTGGAGATGAGAAATTCCAGGTATGGAACAATCAGTTGATGTCTCTTTTTCCATTTGTCTGCAGCTCCATCAGTACTCATGGTCTCTGGAGTCTATAAATTACAATAAATCAGTTGTGAAACTCTAGATGAGGGAAGCAAAAGAAACAAAATATTCTGAATATTTTATTGACTACTGAAAGTAGTAGTGGAGATGAGAAATTATTTTTTTCCTCAGAAATGGCTTTTAACTAAAAAAAAAAACCCAAAACTGAGTGGTTTTTTTGATACCATTGTCTATATGCAGAGAATAAAACTGAAATGTTGCCATCCAGGAGCTAAAATGTCACTCATTAGATGAGTGTCTGAGAGCAGGTCACCATATAGGGAAAAGTTAGTTGCAATAAAAATAATTTCAGAGAAAAGAGCATTTTCCACTTTGCTTTTTGCTTGCTGATGTTACTGCTTTGAACTGTATCCACAACTCAGTGTTGAAGAATGCAGTTATTTAAARAAATTTAGCTATTGTTAAATAGATTCATGTAGTTGTTACTTTAGCTGGACTTCTACTTTGCAAATCTGAATAAATATGAGTGCTGTAGTACTGGCTTTTGAGTGGGCTTGCCTTCAAGGAAACAAAACAGTTATAATTGCTTCAGATTACTTGAGTATAACCAGAACATCATATTTTTAGTCTAAAAGTTTGAAAGCTTGAATTTAACATATTGCTGTAGCTGAACTTGAGGTCCCTGTTGCTTATTTGGGGAACCAGTTACAGACTTGGTACTGGACTATAGTGACTGGACACAATTCTGTACCTCATTTATACATATAATCCATGTTTGCCATTTTCTTCCTTGTAGAAAGCTGTAGATGAGGTGATGAAGCATGTTCACACCCTCTCAGGGAAAAATGATGGTCTTGTGCCTATGTTCATAAACACCAACAGCGGGCAGTTCACCCACCTGGGGGTTTACACTCTGGGAGCCAGAGCTGACAGCTACTATGAGTATCTGCTCAAGCAGTGGATTCAGGGTGGAAAGAAAGAAAATGAGTAAGTTCTTTACATTTCTCATATCGGTGTGAGGATTAGGTGAGCTGTAAAACTCTCTATTGTAGTTTGCTGCTTRAAGACAAATAATGCATGTGCCTAAGAATCAACTGAACATATCATGGTTTTTGAAAGCAAGCTGAGCAGAAAGAAGGACCTATGGTAACTTGATGAAAGAAGATGAGGAGAGTTAGCCTTACTCTCAAAACTCCTTCTCCACAGAAACATTTKCTTCCTCGGGTCATCAAAAGTGAGGAGTGTCACAGACAGGAGATGAGAATTAAGTCTTTGCRATAGATATTGAGCATAATTAGACATTTCTGAAATGCTGTTGGTATTTCCCTTCAATAGCAATGTCTGTGTTTGCTCTGGGTTTGTTACTAAAAAGTGAAAGGAGACAATATATGTGTGTAATCTTCTCTTTAATTTCAGAATCCCAGACAGGTTAGGGTTGGGAGAGATCTTAAAAGTCCATCCTGTCCCACCCCTGCCAAGAGCGGGGACAACTTCCACTAGACTGGGTTACTCCAAGCCCTGTCAGCCTCACCTTGGACACTTCCAGGGATGGGGCAGCTTCTCTGGACAACCTCTGCCAGGGCCTCCCCATCCTCAAAGGGAAGAATTTCTTCCTAATAGCCAATATCAATCTACTTACTTTCTATCACTACATGTCCTTGTAAAAAGTCCCTCTTCAAGTCTTGTGTTTCTTTTATCTGTACTGCATTAGTGGAAGAGTGTTTGCAAGGAGGTGTTAAAGATATTGGAAAAGAAACTTTCCTTCAAGACAAATCTGCATATAAGCTAATTATGTTAGAATTGTTAATTTCAAAAAGTTTGATGCAGACAGAGCAAAAACATGCCTCTTGGAGGCATTTCTGTTTATCAGAGGAGATACCTTTCTACAAACAGAGTTTTCATCACTGCTGTTTCCAAGCCTTACCTCACTGTAAATGAAGAACTGATGTCTTTGGGACCACAATGGCATTTTGTGAGCCTCACAATGGTATTAATCAACAGGTTGTTTTCCATATTGAAAGTATGTGAAAACAAAGAAAAATGGAATTAAGTACTGTGAAACTGTTTCACAATGAGAGAGATCAATTGGAAAAGATTGCTCAAACTTTTTAAATCCCCATGTTTGGATGGGCTACTAAAAATTGCTTGGATATCCACTCAGACAACCTGATATAATTGAGTCTGCCTCAGTCTGGGTCTGCCAGAGGGTTGAAACAGAGACCTCCAAGAGGTTGTTCCCAGCCTAGATTTTCTGTGMTTTCAATTACTCTGCTTCTAAGTATTTTTGAAAAAAATCTGGTTATTGCTTAGAAACAGTTGAAGTTGTTTTCTTTAATTTTGAGTAAGTATTAAAATATTATTATTTACTTCTCAGGTAAACCCAATATTGCTGCATGGTAGTGACAGCCAGTTAATGTCATGTTGATGGTTATTGAGGGGTTTCTTTAAGTTTCAAGTTTAGTTAAATATTATTATTTAGATTGAAGTAACAGTTGCCTAAAAGATTGTGCTGAACATCTTTTGAACATCAGTTATGATCAAATATGTTCTGATTGTATATGCATGTGAGCCAACTGTGATTAGTTTTTTTTCACAGGCTATTAGAAGACTATATGAAAGCCATAGAAGGAGTGAAAAAGCATCTTCTTCAGAGATCAGAACCCAAGAAGCTTACTTTTGTAGGAGAGCTTGCTCACGGTCATTTCAGTGCCAAGATGGTAAGAAATACAATTGCAAAAGCAAACAGAAAAAACATTACAAAATTTAAATAAAACCCAACACAGAGACAGGCAAATGCAAAGCTTTTCCCTCTCCAAAAGAAAGAAAAAAACCCAAACTAACAAAAACTCAAACTGTAAGACTATATACATACACATCTTTCTGGTATGATGGCAGYAATGAGTAACTGCCTTGTAAATACTAACCACATGTGCAAACCAGGGGCCTTATCTATAAGCTATTCCAGTAAACTCATTTTGTTCCTTCAAGACTGAAAATTTTGGTTCTGGAATTAAATTTTCTTTCTCTTTTTTTGATTTTTTTTATTTTTTCTGTTTTGGTCATAAAATTCCAGTGTCTGAAATTGTTGAGACAATATCTATTCTATGTATTATTCATATTCCATAATTCAAAAATATATGTAGACACTTGAACACCTGTGTTTTCAGATTTGCCTTCATTAGAAGTAGGTGATCTAATACTATGTCACGGGGTTAAAAAAAATCTAATAATTTTGAAGACTTCTGTCCATTCRTGTCATCTTTTTGTTTTCCTACCTAGAGGATTCTTGAGTAAAACAGTGTGCTGTTTGCTGTAGGGAAAATTGATTGATCTTAGCCCTCTGCTTCTAATTTGTGCATTTCAAGATCTCAGTTAAAAACCTCATGCAAGTACAAGTATTGGATGTGTGTATGGCTTGCCTTTCAGACAAACAATGTATTATTAATGTATGTGTATACTGATGTAGTATTTTTAGGTACTCAATTCTAGTTTTCAGACTGTGCTTCTTGCATCTAAATTTACCAGAAACACTCCAAACCTTTTGTGAGTAAGACCAGAGTCTGGATTTTGGGTAGACAGGGCTGCTCTGTCCCAAAATAGGATAGAATTGAATTGAGACAGATAGATTTGGCTTAGGTGTCTGTATGTGTCAGAACTCTTCCTCTGTTTCAGGGAGACTCCTCTTCCCCTCACCATGACCTGTGACCTTTTTTTGGAACTTGTCATAAAAATACATTCTTGTACATTTTATAAATGAAAGATTTCTCTTGTAATGCTGCCAAATCATATTACATTACATCAGATTRTTTAAAAGGTATCATCAAGTTGTTGGGACCAGAAACGTGTTTTGAAGAAGAGAAAGATTAAAAAAATYAGACAAAGGTGTATTCATGCATGTCCCCCCCTCCCCCCGTTTGATGTGTAACTTCTCCTTGGTAAGAGTTGTCTTGCCTTGCAGGATCACTTGGTTTGCTTCTTGCCGGGTACTTTAGCACTGGGAGCCCACAATGGCCTGGCAGCTGATCACATGAAGTTGGCTGAAACYCTTATAGAAACCTGCTACCAGATGTATGTTCAGACAGAGACAGGCCTGAGCCCAGAGATCGTACACTTCAACCTCCGGGCACAGAAAGGCCACAAGGATGTGGAAATCAAGGTGAGCAGATAGCTGGTSTGAACTCCAGTTCCATGGTTTCTCTGTTGCTCTATTCTGCTGTTGAACTCTGGYCAGATATTAGGGATGGGCTTTGTTGTGGAGCACTCAATTCTTTTGCTGCCTTGCCTTCTAGCTGTACCCTAGGCTTTGGTTTTAGTTACCCTGGTAGTGTATTTGGAAGCTGACTTACGTGTAGCAAACTTAGGAACAGATGSAGATAGGAATAATTATTTTTTTCCCTGCATGTGTCCTTGAGAAAATTCAAATTCCTTGTCTGAAATACTCTTGCCATTTTTTCTCTTGCAGCCTGCAGACAGGCACAACTTACTGCGACCAGAAACTGTGGAAAGCCTTTTTTATATGTACAGATTCACTGGTGATAAGAAATACCAAGACTGGGGCTGGGAAATCTTGCAGAATTTCAACAGATACACCCGGGTAAGGCCAGCTTATAGTGACCTTGTTCTGTYGGGACTGTATTTGCTCACTTGCTTTCTAACACCAGCTTTACCAACATACTGTTTTTCAAGATTCATCAGATAGTTGGCGGGGAATTTGTACGTATACACAGAAAAATAATTTTCTTACAGATTGAGATACACTACTTAGTCCATATAGTGAAAGAACTTGTATTACATTGATGAAAAAGTGAAATGCAGAAGCTATAGGCAAGACTACAAAAGTGTTAGTATCTCTAATTTTTAAGRCTTTGGAAGCCGAGAAGGACATGGCTGGATTGAAAGAACTCTTCAATTAAAGTTGCCAAAGAAAAAAAATTAGCACAAAATGGCATTAATTGTTTAATAAAAGGTTTTTCTATTCAGACTACACTGCTTGTGGAGATATCACTGATATGCTGTGAAAGTGTGATACTAAATATCAATGTTTGTAAGAGGAATGGATACAGGGCTTGGGCCAGCTCTRGTGTAGAAATCACTGGTTCCTTTCTGTATATTTGTCCAGAAACTTCAAAGGGATATTCTTTGTGATACCTCTCTACCCTAAATACAAATGGGTATTTTGCTTCATTTTATAATTGTGGTTTCTTTTAAAATGCCGTGAGATTTTTTTTTCATTACTGAAGCTTTATATGTAAATGAAAACCAAGTATAAAATGAAAATTATGATGATCTGTTTCCTAGCACTTATCTTCTCTAAGTGCATCTGCATGTTAAGAAATAAAAAATTATTTTAGATCATGTAAAGATACTTTTTTTTTTTTTTGCACAGGTTCCTACAGGTGGTTATACTTCCATTAACAAYGTCCAGAATCCCCGTAATCCAGAGCCACGGGATAAAATGGAGAGCTTCTTCCTTGGGGAAACACTCAAATACATGTTTCTGCTGTTTTCAGATGACATAGACTTAATCAACCTTGACAAATACGTCTTTAACACAGAGGCACATCCACTCCCTATCTGGGTGCCAGCATAGACTCTGCATCCAGTGGTGGCATTTTTATCTTCAAGTCACTTTACTTTTCAGAGGAGAGATGCTATAATGCAGCTTCTTTGGCTTCAAACAACAAACAAAAGCTTGGGAAAAGCATCTCTGGTTTGAAGAGATCATGTCAGTCTTAAATCTAATCCCTGGTTCTGGGATGGGCAAAGCTGTGCCATATAAAGCTGGTTTCCCTGGTACTTATGATGAGGGTCAGAGGGTAATTTTAGTGCAGACTATGACATTCCTGGGGCTCTGGTGACCCCGAACTCACTGCAGTGAACTGGCTTAAGGCACAGGGTTGTTCCTGGAGAGCAGCAGCCTATAGTATTCTGGTTTATTCTGGATTCACTGAAACACTGGATTACAGAGCCATTCCTTTGYCAGACTGTGACAGTGGTTCAGGTGGAGAGTGGAATAAACAAAAGAGCTGTAGTGYTGTCCCAGGTAGAAGCTGTCAGTATTACTGCTGGTACTCTGATCTCCTTCCAAGCTCCCAAGCTATGCTGCATCACCTTAGGAGAGGGAAGAGGCAGCAGAACATCTGTTGTATAGTCTTAGTTTTGTAGAGCACTTTGAACAGTCTGGTCAAGCTGAGGCTGAAATGATTGGTGAAAGAGAATTTGCTGCTGGTTTGGCTCAAAGTGGTATATAATTTTGTAGAGGTATAACAGTTTTTTAATTTATCTGCAGGAATGCAGAAGATATTGTGAAATTCAAGTAGAACTACATGTCCATTTTATATCTTATTTGCATCAGTTAGACTCAGGTATTCTGACTGAAAGCTGCTTTCTGAGGTTGGGCACTTGTGAGCATATTTGGCATCAGCCTCCTTCCATCCCTTCCTGTTCAGATATCACATCATAGGTGTTTGTTGACTCAAAACAAGCTTACAACTAAACAGTACAGTTCATGTTACTCATAATTTCTTGGACCTTGGTGAAATTTTCCATTATTTTTTCCGTAGGAGTATATTGGGTATTTTCAATAGTAGTATTAAAAGCAGACAGTCTAAAGGTATTACAGCAATTCTAGACCYCAGTAGAGTTGAAGAAAATAATTTCAGTTACTTGAAGAGAAAGTAGACCTAGGTTTTATAAGAATCTTACAGGAATCCTGGGATCTTTCATCTTTATATGTGCACACATATAATTATAAGTTATGAATATGGAAATGAGCTTTCTAGAGTGCTTTTCCTTTTGTATTGGACTTGGACAGTCCTGTATTCACGGGTAAGATCTCAGAAATGTGATTGTTCATATTTCTGGAAGAGGTTGGTCTCACTGAAATACTCCTTCCCCCATTGGCAATGGGTGTGATGAGCAGGGCCAGGAGGTTCCCACTAAATCCAGGGGTCCAGGGCTGTTAATGGAGCTGGTTGAATTTGACTACAATGTTTTGTTTTCCAGTGGCTGAGGGAGTTCTTTTACAATAATTGTAATCTCTGATTTGTAAAGTAAGATGCATCTTTATTTGTTTTATGCTGATCCATTTTTTGTGCTGGAGTTACAAGTTACTCTTGGGACCAYTATTTAAGTCTTTCCGATAATATTTATCATTCCGTGTACTAATGGAAATGGAGAAATTTTACAAATTACTTAAATGCACATTTTTCTGCCATCAGAGGGACCCGGACCTGGGATTGGCAGGACATGATCAGTCAGTGCAGAATGTTAATGTTCCTCCTGTTCACATGCCAGCAGTAACTCTGGCAACCAGCTCCTCACTTGAAAGTGCAGTGGAATCCAGTCACTATGGCCMTTGGCTGCACAACTGATTTGCTGCCAAGGCTTCTGTTTTCTTTGGCACAACAGCAAATGAGAGCACTGGTAAAACGTGGGAGGAAACACCTTCAGTGTTTTTGTTTGTGAAGCAGGTTTGTGCTGCTGAGGAGCTGAGCTGTGGCTAAAAGCTAAAGGCTTGAAATTCGACATTAAAGAAAAAATTAAAAAAAAAAAATTCAGTGACACTACTCAGACCCTGTTGACCTGTGTTGCTTTGGCCTTGTGCCTTGAACCTTTAATTATGACTCTRCTATGGATTGTAAAACTTCCAGGGTTCAGTGTTTCACCCAGAGAGCTGCTCAGCTGAGGCAAGAGAGATTTCTTGAAAAACGGAATACATACAAAGGCTTACCAAAAAATTTCTGGTTTTGAACTTGTACACAAGTCTTAATGTAATTGATTCTACAAATGGGACTATAGGAGTCTGTGTGATGATTTTTTTTTTGGCCTTATGATTGAGAGTAATAATTAATTTCCTAATGAGTTGAAGGAGAGAAGAATAAACTCTCACTTTCTCAAACATGTCTTGTCTTTTAGCTGAGCCTTTTGGTCAAGCTGATTTCCATCTAGTTSTTCTTGGGACATGCAATTTCTTCAAAATGTGGCTTTACTGTCCTCAGCCTTTAAACCCAAGGTTCAGATTGTTTAGCTCTCACTTTGAGAACAAATGCTTGTTTCRGACCCCTATATCACATGTAAAATAGCACAAACTAAATAATCTCAATAATGCTCATCTGTTCTTCTGCAGAGGTCATTATAATTGCTTATTTATTTKTACTTCCTTAACAAACTGTTGGGTCAGATCAGTCTCTGAGCTCTGCAGCTTACTTCTGTTCTATGATGTGCACCCTCAGCACCACAGAAGCTCAAAGTTTCCATTTGTGTTCCTTGTTTCAAAGCCTGAGCTGCTGGGTCTGCAACCCACTTTGGTGTCTCTGAATACTGGGACACTCCTGGCTTAAGTGGAGTGTTGTGGAAAGGCCACCACTGAGCCAGGGATTCTGTCCCTTACAACAGAAAGCCTTGRGCTTTCACTGAGAAACAGAGCTGGRGATGGGYRGAGCCCCAGAGTACTGCAGGGCTGTAGGATTTGGGAGCCTCACACTTGGGGGCTTTGAGCCACAGCTCAGGAAAAAATATTGACCTGTTTATGCAAAGAAAATTCAGCTGATGGGGCACAGTTACCATCTAATCCCTGAACTTTTGAAAGCTGAATTCTCATTACAGTCTTAGAAACTGGCAATTTTGCAAGGTCCCCTATGTTGGCTGACAGGACCCTTGTGTTTTGCGGGACTTTCCAGTAACTGGATTTTCAGCATTCCATGCCAAGCTCAGGTACAGGTGTATTTATTCCTCCAAATACAAACAAAAAATACACCTTGTTTCCTGTTCCATGCCACTGTGATGTTGGCAGTGATGATGGATGAAGACAGGRAAGTTTTTTGCAATCACACATTTATAGTTTTGTGAAGTTTTCCTGCACTTTAGGACTTGCCTCAGCTGTGCACTCCTAAAGATAGCCCTTTAGAGAATTCACCGCCTGATTCCCAGTGCCATACTCAGTGTATTTATTTAACAGGAAAAATGACATGACAGGGTAGCTCCATGAAACTTGTTGCTTCAGCAGAAAGGGTTAACATTTTTTCTGACTTTGGATTTGGGAAGAAAGCTTTGGGCTTTTTTGGTGTCAGAAATATTGCTGGAGTTTGCTGTCTAAGGCTGAAGGTTATGTGTCCAGTGAAGCCCAACACTGAGTTCCTGTTGTGTGCACTGTTACCACCTTGGCCACACTCGTGTCACTAAATGATGATGGAACAAATGAGCCTTTGTTCAACAACCTCACTGGTGCAGGCCTTAAGCACAGGGTCTGGTCTGGGTCACTCGCTGCTTGCACCCATTTTCCTTGTGTGGCCCTGAAGTTCAAYCAGGAGCAGCATTCCCATGATGCTTAATAGTGATGCTTTGGAGCTCTTTCTTCAGCTCAGCACCACACAACAGGGTTTTCCTTTTACATTCCATGCTTGCTTGSCCAAGGATTCAAAGCATTATGGATGTTGGTGGCACACTGGCTTCATACTTTTGCCATGGTTTCTTTTATGGCACAGTTCATCTGTCATGGAATGTCCACGTCACATTCATCTCGTCACCATACTGTCTGAAAGTCTTTCATGTATCCTTCCATATCAAACTATGTGTATTCATTTGGGTAAGAACTATCTGTAAGAGGAAAAKAAGAGCTCAGTATAGTAGAAGGGGATTAAAAAGCTCTTGTCCTCGTGGAAGGTCAGCAGACACCCAGGCCTTTCTCTCCGAAGCGCAAGCCGAGCCCTGGCAATTGGAATGATGTGCAGTGACTTCCTAAGAGACTTGTCCTGAACCTGGCTGTGTTCATATGTTGCTGGGCTGGTGACACTGGGTGCCTGTTTACGGGTGGGAAGGGTGCTGTTTGAAGGGAAATAAACGCAGGATGCAATCCTCGCTCTCTGCTTTTTTTTAATTCTTAATGTGTTAATCCTGAATAATGGCCGGGGATACAGCAAATCTGAATTCAGGGAAGTTGGGGGCTCTGAGCACAGAGGATGACCCYAAGTCCAGCACTTCAGTAAGGCTTGATGTGGCAGCAACAAACCCAAAGCCTGACTTGAGCAGGAGCAGAAAGGGCGGTGGCAGCTCTAAGCAAGGCACTTGGAGGTTTTCATCAGCATGAACAGAGAGGATTCAGGTCTAGCTGARAATGTAGTGCCACTGGCAGTCTTAGAGTGATTTTTGTAGGGAGTTTGATTAATTGGGAGTTCCAAGTTGTCCTTCATTTACATGTATCTGAAATAGCTGATCTGTGGATCCACCTGTTCTGCTCTCCGCATCATCCCTGGGTGGAGGAAGCAGAGGATTTGGCCTTTTGTTAAGAAGGGGGCAGAGGTGGATGGGACAGATCTTGGCACCCAAATACTGTGGAACACCAGCAGGGGCTCTGGGAACTAGSCAGGCTGTGACCAGGGAGGGCCCAGCAGTGCAGACACTTGACCCCAAGCACTGCTGTGACTGTGCCACTCAAGCAATGGAAACTTTTGCGGACTCAAGAGACCTCCCCACTAATTCATAAAATCAATGTAGAGTAAAATCAACTGAGGCAGTCAGTTGATTACCAGGGTTTAGTATTTTTGCAGTTATGTAATAATTACCGGTGCTTAGTCATTCCAGTAGCACCTGTTCATATGCAAAGATCCACCTGGGAAAGTGAGCAGAAACTTTTTAATCTTCTTTGGTTATACTACCAAGCCATGAAGTTACATCACTCCCTTTAATAAACTTTTATATTACACACTTTAATATACTTGTAATTGATTTTAAAAAGCTCTGAAGATGTCTCAGTAGAAGTGTGCTTTACTGGTCATGAATACACAGCTGTTGAGTGACAGCAGTGCACACCAGGATTCCTTTGTGTAAATCTTCATCTCAGCAACTGGAATCTCTTAGACAAATTAAAAACAAAATTAAAACACCCCAAACCCACAGCCCTGGCTAAGACTGACTGTTTTAGATAACTGGTCACTAGTGGAGTTCCCTTGATCCTGTGTCAGTCATGACCATAYCTCTGCTCTTCCACTAGCCCTCTAGTATTTCCTTTTTCTCTAAAAAAAATTTAGTTTCAACCTTAAGGTGAACTAAACCTCATGCAACCATCTTGTTCAGGGCAGTGATGGTTCTTGGGACCTTCCAGGCAAGCTTTTCGTATTCCTGCCCTTTATAACAGCTCATTCTAAGCAGGCAAGCATGGAGCCCAGACAATGTGGTTTGGCTTGTCAGTGATTTGGCCTTTTGCCTTTCATTTGATGCTCAATGAGGTACAGATGGGACACTTTGGAAAAGGGAGTTCCCATCATGGCAGAGAAGAGAAGAGAACAGTGTCCCAGCCAGCCCACAGCCAGCTCAGCAGGCTGCTGTGCCCCGGGGCACAGCACCAGGGCTGCAGGGATGGGTGGTGTCAGGGCTGGCTGCCTGCTGAAGCTCCCACACGCTGCTCCYGCACCCGCTCAGTGCCTGCAGATTTCAGCCAGCTCTGGATGATCCCGGCTTCCAGCCTGCGCACCTCTCTGACGGACGGGGGGTCGGCTGGGTTGTGTCCCCTAGGGAAAGCAGAGCAGTCTTGGTTACTGCACAGTGGGGTTTTGCCTCCTGTGAAGGCAGAGCCTGCAACCTTAAGGACACAGACTACTTGGTTTGTGCTTCACATATATGCCCTGCAAACCAAGCTGCAGTGTCAGGTCCCCAATGCAGTTGTGCAGCAGCCCCAGGCTTGCCCTTTCACTGCTGGCTGCTGCCYGCTCTGCTCTCCAGGCCCTAAGGCTGATGGCTAATGCCAGGAGGCACTGGACTACTTCACTTGACTGATGGATCACTGCAGGCTGTCTCATACTTGTGCCAACCCCTGTGCAAGAACATGATCTAAAAACAGYAGGTGAGCTGAGTGTCAAGTTCTGCACAGCCCAGCATCCCTGGAGGCTGAAAGAAGAAGGGGAAGAAGATCAGTCTTCCACATTGGGCTGCAACAGCCTGGTATCCATCCTCTTTAAGTATTTGCYCTGTGCCAGGCACTGGTGAGGCCACACCTCAAATCCTGAGGTCAGTTTTGGGTCCCTCTTGACAAATAAGACATGAAGGGCTGGAACATAATCAGAGAAGGGAATGGAGCTGGGGAAGAGTCCAGCACCAGGAGTGGCTGAGGGAGCTGGGGGGGCTCAGCCTGGAGAAAGGGAGTCTTAGGGGGGACCATCTTGCTCTCTAGAACACCCTGATGGGAGGTGGTGGCCAGGTGGGGGTCAGGCTCTGGCTCCCAGGTAATGGGACAGGATGAGAGGAAACAGCCTCAAGTTGAACCAGGAGTATTTAGACTAGATATTAGAGATAATATTTTCATGGAAAGGGTGGGAACAGACTGCCCAGGGAAGTGTTGAATTCACCATCCCTAGAAGCATTCAAAAAACTTACAGATATGGCTCTTGAGGACATGGTTTAGTGGTGAACATGGTGGTGGTGTTGGGTTGATGGTTRGACTTAATGATCTTAGAGGTTTTTTCCAACCTCAATAACTTTATGAATCTGTGATTATAAAGTATCTCCTGGTTGTTTGGACTGTGGCTTGCTGAGATCAAACACCCAGGGCATCAGGACTCTGCCGGCCAAAGGAGAACTTGGTACGTACCGGAGATCAAGGTGATGGGCACCTCCTTTAATGGTCAGGGCAATCAGTGAAGGACTGAGACTGCTGTTTATCTGTGAGGAGAAGGAACAAAGACCAACTGTCAGCAAGTTACTGGGAAGAACTGGAGATGAATTCTAAAAACTGGAACATGATCTGGGCAAAACTGAGAAAAAGCATGAGAAGACATCCTTGGTATTGCTGGTATCCACAGTCCTATAAACAATCCTAATGAGCCAGATCACCTACCCCAAATGAAGGGAATGTTTTCCCTGAGATGGGAACTTTCAGCTGATTCCAACACAGGAAGTTAGTGTCCTCTGGGCCCATGCACCCTAAGCAGCCGGTTCCTCCTGCAGCTGGCATTCTAAGCCAGACTAAAACAAAGAGCTCCTGTATTTAATCAGGAGCTCAGCTAACTCAAAATCCAGTCCTGGGTCATTTTTGTTTTTAAATTTTGAACTGGACACTGACAGCACTCTGAAGTTTTGTTGAATCTAAGCCAAAACATATCCTGGTTTGAGTTGCTGCTCATAGTGCCTGCCTGGTCTCACCAAGGATGCTGCRACTGCAGAGAGCCAGGAGCAGCTGSCTGGCAGCMCTGAGACCATGTGTRGGCACAGAAACACCAGGTTGTGGTTCAGACCCTGGGTATAGGGTAAGGAAGGTCCTGCTGTCTGTGCTAATGAAGCCACATTTGTTTCATCAGTATTCCTGGCTGATGGACACTACTCTGTGTGTCCATCATTAGTGTCCCAAGATTCCTCAGTGGTTCTCTATGGAACAGCTGCTCACAGAAAGTCAGGCTAAAACTGAATCACCAGTGCTGCAAGGGAGGGGGAGTAGTATGTCACCTGCAAAGGCTGCTCTGTGCTCAGGGTGCAGGAATGCACATGCTTACCCCACCTCCAGCCCATGGGTCCAAGTCTCCATTTGAAAAAATGATGTTGCTTGCACTTTTCAGGTCTGAAATTCAGAGAGTGCATAATTAAGAGGTCTCCCTCCTACCTAGTTATCCAAAATGCATTTGACTACTGCAGCAAACATGGCCAAGAATAGAAAACATTGAAGAATGGAACAAATTAATGATAGTTTTTACATTTTCCTCTTCTGTCCCAAAGAGATACAGAAAGGTCTGTTTGGCTCAAGTCAGCATATGKCTGTGACTTTCTGTCAGGACTCATTAATGTGCTGTGCCTGTCCTGATAGGGCTTAGCTGGGCAGAGGGAAAYAGGCAGACAGCTACAGGGTAACACAAAGGGACAAGCAATCAGCACWACTCACCTTCTCCCCAAAAGTTTGTCTGCAGCCAATGCACGCGTGGTCTCACACGCCACTTGTTCCAACAGTACTGCTCACGCATGGCCTCTGTGAAGGGCATCTCGGGGAACATGTCYGTCACATTGTTACTGTTAAATGTTAAGTTGATCTCGGTGCAAACCTAAGAGAAGCACGAGAGCTGTCATGGGGCAGGGACATAGCCAGGGCTGAAACCTGTTCTGTGTCTCCAGCCCCATACCTGGTAGTCCCAAGCCTCTGCGTCTGAGCCGATGCCGCAGCCCGTGGGGTCAGCACAGGACTGGTACAGCTGATATATGTCATAACACTGTACTGAGCCAGAGGAGTTGTAGAACACCCCTGCCAGGTGAGAGCACAGCACAAAACCAGTCAGTAACTGCTGTCTCACCCACCACCTCCCACATGAACTTGATGGTCAAAACCAAGCCAARGTCTGAGTGAGTGTACAAGGATGGGACAGAGCTCACAGAGCCTGTAACTGTGTGAGGTTACAATCCAGCTTTACAGCAAAATTTTCACATAGTTTCAAGTCTGGCTACAGAATACTCTTTGTCTCTGCTGCATTCATGGGGAGGAAGGGAATTCCATGTGCTCTCCATTGTCTCTCCTCCTGCCAAAAGCCAAGTAAGTGGCTTACTAGTCCTTGGGAGAGCCCAGGCCCCTAATCCCCCATGTACCCAGGAGAAGGCTGTGCACAGGGTGCTGGTTGAATACTTCAAATGGAATAGGACACAACTGCTTAGACCTTCCCACTCCCACCCTGAAAGGAGCTGCATCTGAACTGATCAAATTTAAATCAGAGTGCCAAAGGTGGCTTGTCACAGAGGGGGTTTTGTTTGACTGTTGCTCAAGAAGGAAAGGATGGCGTGTGCAGGCTTGCCCAGTGAGAGGATTTGAGCAGGTGACAGCCCCAGGAATGTGCTACTTTCTGTGCAGATGGTCAATTATGGATAGCAAGGAGGAGGAACACAGCTACACTGGTGGCTGTCCTGTGTCACAGCCCACAAGCAAAACTCACAAACACTGTGAGTTTCTGCATTAACCAGCACCATCAGCTCCACTTGCAAACAGCCCCAGGCAGCTCCGCCTGGCACCTGGGGCTCTGTGGCCACAAAGTCTCAGAGGCTGCTGAAGAAGAGCTGGGTGCTGCCTTTCAGGGGCTCTGCAGGGTGGGCAGCACAGCCCCTGCCCCCTGGCTGGTTTAGCTGGAGAAGGCTGCCCAGGAGATGCACTGAGGACTGCTCCAGGGCTCTGCACTGTGCACAGCAATGCTGCTTGGCTCACAGACCAGCAGAGCAAGGCTCATGTCGGACACCTRCCTGCCAAAACTCCTGGAAGGACTCAGCAGCCCTTGCTCACAGAGGTGCTGTGTGATGTGACTCTGGAGGCAGAAGAGGTTTGCTTTCCRGCCCGTAAGATCATTTTGGCTTCAGCAACATCCTCTTTGTTGGCCAGTTGATGGGAGCAGGGAGCTCAGATGGTAACATCCAGCTGAAAGCCATCAGTGCTGCTGGGCTGAGGAATGTTTTCAACTTCATCTACTCCGAGAGATTCAACCCCTCTCTATATCTACAGAATACTGAGGAGACTTTCAAAGCCACACAAACCCTCCTGGTGCAGGAGGTGATCAAGCTCTGCTTTCACTTTCTGGATGGGTGCTTGAACTGTGAGAACTGCTTGGATATTCTGAGTATCACCAAGAAACTCGGCCCAAATGAGCTGAGACAGGAAGCCACATGCTATGTGGGACAGCATTACAAACAGATCCTGGCTAATCCTCAATGCTGGAAAGTCCTGGACCAAGAAACCCGTTGTGAAATTTTGGACAGGATGAACACTGAGGGCTGCAGTGGCTCTGAAAGTGTTCAGAGCCATTGTGTGCTGGCTGCAGCACAACCAAAGACACAGCACAGAGTTTACAGTGCAAAAGACTCTCTCATGCCTTTACAGGATCTGCAGAGATATATCCAGGAAATGCCTATTGTGAGGCTGGACTCAGGCTGCTGCAAGTACCTGCGAGGAGCCTCTGGAACACCACTCAGCTGTATGCTCAGCCAGTCCTGCAGATCCAGAACACAAGTCTCCACTCTGGTTCCATTGCGCTATTTGTCACTCATGGCAGCATTGCCAACAACTGCGTGTGCAGGGAGATGTGGGCTGCAGACCTGAACTGCAGCACCAGCACAAGTTTAGGGATCTCTGTATGCCAGTGTACAACCACTGTGTCACCACCATCAACRGTTTCCTCTTTGTCATTGGGGGACAGTACAAATTTGATCTCATGGGAAAGCAGCCATCAAATGAGGCAAGATAGAAGAAACTTTTAGCCTTGGAAAAATGTCTAGGTGGCAAAGAGAGGGAGTCATTCTTCTTGCCCCCCACAGATCTCCCACTCCTCTCTCTTAGTGCTCTGTGCAGTACTGAAAGCCCTTGGGAAGACAGATTCCAAATTGTCTGGGAAGCAGTCAGGTCCTGCCCTGGTCTYACCTTGCTCCCTTTGCAAACTGTCATCCTAATCTGTACACAGTATCATAGCACATTTCATGTTTGGCCAGGTCCACATCAGTCCACATCAGTCAGTCAAGCAGCCYCATGGAATGCTTCCTTCAGTGAATGTGCACTGAGTCTGTGACTGCTGGAGTCAGAGTATGGGTAAACATGTAGAAAAAGAACTAAGTATCTCAGAAGCCCAAATTTCATGGACAGATAATAGACTATGGGGCTGCAATGCTTGAGAAACATGGCAAGAATAAGCTGGGAAAGGTGAGAGAATGAACCTATCGACCACTGTGAGACATCCCAACAGACAAAATCAACAAGGGCAAAACATCCCAGATGTAGAGTCATACCAGCTCCCCCGATACAGCAATGTGACAGCAATACTGATAGGTGCTTCTAGAACACATCGTGACACAGAAAAGATCAAACTGATAATRTTAACTCACCAACAAGAGCAGCCAAGCCTTCAACTGGGTCTTTGTGGGCAATCATTTGTTCACAGCTGACCTGGGTGAGACACATTACAGGCAAACAGCAAACASAACAGTTACCAGTTGCTTTGTGGAAGGGCTAAGCTGGAAGATTCAGTAAAATTATCATTTACACATTTTATGGTTTAGCAGCTYTCCTAATGGCCTAATGCAACTGGACTTGAAGTTTTTATCTTCCTCCCTTGTAGTGACAAAATACTTAGAAGCAAGRAGACAGGACAAGGGCAGATAGTTCCTTCACCAAGTTAGGGTGCTGTGGAGGGGCCACAGTGATACAAAACAGTTCCTTGTACAATCAGAATATTTTAATGCCCTTTTCAGGGAGTGCAGGGGAATGTGCAGAGTAATTATTTCCTTTTTAAAGGTCATTAAACAAACCCTAGAAGGGAACTGGGTGCCCAGTGCAGCCAGAGGCAGCATCTCCAGTCCCAGTGCAGTGGAGCCTGCGTGATCTCTTGCACAGTGTGCTCCAGGTAGAACTAGAACCCTAAATGCCACAAAGCCAGAGGCAAATGAAGTCCCACAGAGCTTGACAACACAACAGAAGACAGCAAGAATTGCAGTAGCCCTATGTGATCTGGAATCAAAGCTGGTATCTTTCAMAAGCAGCTCGTGTCTTAGAGGCAAACCCCTCAGAACTTGGCCCTTTTCCCACACTTTGCCATCTATGATTCTCTTGAAAGTTCACAGGTTTCCCRGTCCCCATAGCAGAGGTTTTTGTCTGCATTATACCTGAGGTATGTCAGCTTCCTGGGAAACACTTATGTCCCAGTTTTGCTCGGTCCAGTTTTTGGTGGTGGGRGGATGGGACCAAGAAACCACAAAGATGGYTCCTGTGAGAAAGTTCTGGAAGCTTTCTCCTTCTTCTCCAGCAAAAGGAGCCCTGCCCCCTGTRTTTTAGARCCAATCCATTRTGGCTCTGAGGTTGATGGACAGGCTGCTSRTCARGCCTGGGCCAATTGCACAGGTTGGTTACACCTCTGTGATGACRCATGATCTTGTACTTAAGAAGAATTCAAAACAAGATATTTTGTGACAGCCGTTAGTTTTTAGGTTGTTAGCATAATCCCCTACACTGGGGGAGGACAGAGGAGGAGGGTGAAGAGATGTGAGAAAAAAAAGGAGACACAAGGTCAAAGAGAGTCAAAGGAGAAGAAAGATGCTGTTGCTGTGGTGCTYGAACATGGAGAAAACAAGCTGTTCTCTATATGACTATTTTTTCAGTGGGAGACCTGTATAGAAAAGAGAGGCCCTGCACGAGATAAAAAAAAACTGGCCTCGAGGACTGGACTGATCATAAGCCAAAAAGGGGGAAGAGGTGGCCCCCACATCTGAAGCAAGTAGATGCTTAGAAGAAACTGTGTTCTGCGAGGAGATTTGAGACCKTGGCCTTGCCCTCAGAATGAAGCATGCCAGTCTTGGAGGACTGTTTCCCTTTCTCCCACAAGGTAAAGAAAAGAATCCCATGCCACCAGCAGTTATACACTGACTGTTTCTTGGGAAAAGAACTTCCACAGCTTGGAGCTGTAAGAACTCTTTTCCTATGATGCTGGACGACAACTGTAATGAGTAGTCTGATCTATGTAAAAATTTCATCCCTGCCCCCCTTATTCATGGGAAGGCATGGAGGGGTGGGGAGGAGTGACTTGGGAGAGACAGGTTCCCAGAAAGAGCAACAGGTGTCTTAAAATGTCCGTATTTTTTTTCTTCTCCTTGTAAATTTTTCCCTATCTCTGCTCCCCTCCCTGGAGCGGTAGTATTCTTAGTAGTCCTTAGTAATAAATCTATTTTGCAACTTAAGTTTTTTTGATCTTGTCTGGCCATTTCTGGAGCATACATGTATCTTTCTCTCAATTATGTTATCTTATCTAAAAGCCATAAATTTTGGTGTTAATTTGGCTTCTGCTCTCCCCTTTGCCTCTGCAGTGGTGTGGGGGGAATGTCGTGGGTGCTTTGGCTTTTGGCTAAAGTTCAAACCACGACAACTTAGAAAAGAGACTGATTTTTATACCTCCATCCTTACCCACCAAGAAAAACATATCTCTGACATCATGTTGATATGGGTTACAACAAAACTACTTTTTTCTTTTTTTAAAGTTACAAGTTTTTAGTGTTTAAAAGCTGAAGTCAACAAGTTTGTACAGGTCTTTGTATCTTAGATAAAGGCTGAGCAGGGTAGCAGTGACTCCAGCAAACCTCACATCAGTGCATTTCAAACACAGCAGTCAACATCTTAGAGAAGTTTAAATTGTGTAGATTTACTGTCAGACTGGAAGGGCTGCAACATCCACCACTACTGCCTTGTCACCATCACCAATGGTGTGTGACCTAAGCTCCAGTCACCCACTCACACTCACACTCACATCCTCACCTTCACTGGATTGGCGGGGAGGTGACCCATGAAGTCGGTTTTGTATGGATAGTCCATCATGGCCATCATGGTGAAGGCATTTCTAGCAAATCCAAACAGCTGGTAAACATCCTCCTTGTTAGAGATCTTATTGCATGTGGCCATTTTTCTGCTGATCTCATCATAGGCTACAGAAGAAAGGAAAATAAAAGATACAAACTTCAACAGAGTAAAGTAACACCAAGCTTCAGTTTCTTGTTTCACTCAGAAGTGAGAAGATGCTGTAACATAAGATGAAGTTTTTAGTGGAAAGGACACATTACATCTAAATTTACACATGTGAACAGAATGCTCAGGCACAGCCTCTCTGTGCAGTGTCACAACCTTGTGTGGCCCACAGCCCACGCTCTGTCCCTCATGGAGCCACTGAYASCTCCCTGGGGAGYCTGGAGGAATCAGCACCTGCTGGCMCAGTGAGCAGAGCAGCCTGTCTTTGCCAGTGCCCTGATGGCTGCTCCTGCTCACACCCACAGACCCCTTCCCTGACAGGGCTGCTGTGTCTCACAGGGCAAACTCCCCAGGCAAGCTCTCATGCAAGGAGAGCAAGGTATAGCATAGAGGACCCAGTGAGGTTTAAAAGCAGGAAAAAACGTCAGGGGGAAAAAACAACTAAAAAAAAAATTAAAATAAAGAAAACAGAAAAACCCAACCACAAACAAACAAACATACCCCCAACAATTCCAACCAAACCCCCCCCCCCCCACCAACAACAACAAAAAAAAAAAAAAAAAAAAAAAAGAACTTCTTGGGAAGAGGGTGCATCTGCAGTAAGAACTGTCCAGTGAGAACAGTCCTCACATCTATCCATGAAGACATGCCTTCAAGTGGGATGAGAAGGACAGCTGGAGTCAGCTGGAGTATTTGAAGATATTCCTTCAAGATGTACTCACTCCCTTCATTTTCATCTTCCACATTTTGGAGTCAGAGTTCGTCCCCCATCCTGCTCTACAAGCTGACCACTAGAGCATGACTGTTTTTGCTTGGAAACCCACAGCCAGGGACCTGATTTTGGATACACACTTGAGGGCCTAAGCCTTAAATATGATCACCTTACCCTCAGCTGCAGGAAGCATGGCACAAGGCAGAGCTGGAAGAACTTAACTAATCAGCTGGAAGAACTTAACTAACTAACATTAACATTCTTCCTGCTGTGACCCAAAGCTAAAATGGCATTTTGATCCCTGGTTTCCTCTGACAGTTCCAGAACAGCAGCAGCACCTGGGAGACATACAGTTCCTGACCACAGCACCATAGACCAAGGCTCAAACAGAGGCACCACATCTGTCCCAACACCATGCACAGCTTCCAGGAGATGTTGCATCAGCCCAAGGCATCTGGCCCAGCCTACTTAGGAGCCATTGCAGAGGTCTCCAGTCTGTCCTAACTGTCCACGACTGGAGATGGAAGGGACTTGRATAATTGCTTCAGGACCTAGACTGCCCTCCACATATTTCTCTGATCTGTCCAGTGAGCTGAGCTGTCATACYAATCAGAACAGCTCTTAATGGTGTGGATATTGAGGACAAGTATTTGGTGAAATGTGGCTTTACTAGCATAAAATACTGGTGGTTTTCTGCAAGCAGTTTTGCAGAAAAAATAGTTTCATTAACACTGTGCAAAGCTCCCCAGAGCTGCTTATGTTTTAGTGTTGGTTACAAATGTTAATGCTAACTGAAACTTAATTAAAAAAAATCTATTGTGTAAGCAGAAAGAGGAAGCCATGTGGGCATCAATTTATCTGAACAACTAGCTGAGGTAAAGCTGTATCAACTTTTTCCCCGTGGCTGGGAATGCTGGCTGCCCTTGGGAGCCATCTGCAAGGCTCTCTTCTTACCTCCACTCAGGCACAGGTCCTTGATCTGCTGGAAGGCTTYACGGACAGCTGTGACACAGCCTAGGCTGGACTTCTGAAAATCCTGAAAGGACAGAAGAAATACGAGATGACAATTTCCTAGAGGAGATACYTGAAAAGTCTGCAACAGAAAGATCTGCCAGAAGGACCAGAAGATGACAGGGGTTACTGGCCCACTGGTCAGCACTGCACTTCTAGGACCAGTAACACCAGAGCTTCTGCCTTGTCCTTCAGACCATCAGCATGTCCATGCAGAAGGCAATGCTCTGCACAGCTCAGGCCAAGCAGCAGCTGTGTCACCAGTCAGACAGGACACCCTGCACTTCCTGGAGCATCAGGCTGGACATGAAGCAKCAAGAGAATATGAAGCATGCCTCAGCCTGGGGAGAGTGGGCCAGGCTGCAAGGGCCAGAGSGGTTTTGTTGTTGCTTTTAAACACAGAGCAGAGTCCTTGAAACTGCACATTGTGAGAAGGAGACATGGGAGAAGTCAGTTATGCATTGGGAGTACAGAACCAAGATCTGCTTTTCTTCTTAAGCCTGCTCGTGACCTGCCAAATGACCATGTCCTTTTTCTTGGGAAAACTATTACTGATCCCAAAAAAGCACTTTAAGTTAAGTTTGAAGAACTGTGGCTGGTTATGGTGGACCAAGTTGTTTCTGTGATTGAAKGCTCTAGGAACTCAAGCTCCTTTTCCTCTCTCAAGTTGTAAGGCAGATTTAGATCTGCTGGCAACTAGTGTTTTGTAAGAATTATTAGGGCTCTTCTGAGATCCCTTTACCCTGCTAGAGCAGGGTAAGTAACCACAAATCACTAGCTAGGCATTTTTCTTATAAAGACCCAGTCTCAACTGAAAAATAGATTTGGGATCTTTCTTTTCTTCCTAATTCAACCTTTGTCTGATAATTATGCTTAAAGAAATCATTGTGGGCGTTTCCACAGTTTACCTGGGCAACMCTTTTAGGAGTTCCAAATGTCCTTCTGGATGTGCTTATTGATCTTCACTTACAAATGGCTCTAACTAGAGCTTGGGGATAGTTTGGCCTGGGACAGAGGAGCAGATCTGTCTGGTTGCTACGATGGCTGAGCTCCCCTCTAGGCACTGCTGGGGTGCTGCCACGCACTGCCTGGCACAAGAACCCATTTAAGATCACCCCCAGTCCCTCACAGACTAGAAACAGCTGGGCTTAGCAGAGGCAGGAGGAAYTGCAGCCATTCTGAGGAAAGCTGYTCYSCTSCAGGCTTCCAGCTTTACTCTTKACTCACACCCGATTCAGATTTGTCMTGWGAGCYGATGGCCTCAGCAGCTGCTGCAWCAGTAACCTCAGGGGAAGCWGCAGGGGTGTATGTGCAGCTCTCACACCATGGGTTTTGCTAGCTGCAGGCAGTTGGCATATATAACCTTGAATGCAAAATCAGTTTGCTGCCCTTAGGCCACCTTYCCTGTGAGCTGGAGGCTCATGAAGTGAGCTGAAAATGTTCAGTACAGGCCACAGAGAAAGCTGCTTTGAGACAATGCACTGACTCCCAGMGAGGGACAGAGGGAAGGGAGAGCTTCCACAGTGACTTGTGAAAGGTTTGTGCTGTCATTAGGATTAACAGCTCTCATGGGTGCTCTCAGCAAGAAGAGCAATTCAGACTTCAGATGCATAAATTGCAAGTTAGAACAACCTCCACACTGAAGGTGTTAGGGAGTACTTTGAAACCATATAGTGCTTGATWAAGAGCTCAGCCCAGAGCTTGGCTTACTGCTGCAGAGAAAGCAGATTTTTAAATTACTTGGAAAGTTTTTTCACGTGAAAAAGTTAAAGCCCTAAGTTTGAGGGTGTGCAATGACTCACAGCATATTCATAGATGAAGCAAGACAGGGCTAGTGAAAGGAACTTAGCTTCAACCAAGGAAGAATTCCCACTTCACAGCCTGTTAGTTGACCAAATTAGGAGGAATAAGATGAATAAACCTTTGCAAACAGATTAAGTGAATCTGATTGAGATAGGGCCAGGGGCTTATATACAAGGAAGTAATGATAGAAACTATCAGTTCTAGAAAATGTTACTAATTGACATAGACTGCTGCTCAGCCAAGGCCTGTTAAATTCCTGAACCCAGAGAAAAAGAAAAAAGACTTAATAAAATTATGAACAGTGTTTTGCTATGTAAAAGAAAAAAAGGTGCGTGTGCATAGTAGAGGGGGACATAGAGTAGGTGATTSAAGAAGTCTGTACCTTCCAAGTATCTCTGCCAATGGGGAAAGGAAAAGGGGTGATGTGGCTGGAAACCTAGGATAAAAAGGAGGCTGTGTCCCCCAAGACCACGAGAAATGCCCATGGTCTCTCCCTTTATTTGAATATAGTTACAGAAATACTCTGTCTCCTTTTTGGACATAAACCTCTGGTGCTGTGAATTTTTCCACACAAATATGGGCTTGTCTGGGATCCTTCCACCGTCTGGAGGCAGCAGGAGCTGAAGGCACACCTCACCCAGTTTTGGTGATCAGCTCCYCTTGGTGCAGCCACATCGGGCSATTGATTGGGTTCCCCAGACTGTCCAGGAGACAGATGAGTGSCARACCAGGGGGGTCCATGAAGAGTCTGCAGGGAAGGACCWCTGAAAATCTCTGTGGTGAGTACAGTGGGATCTTCGGGGARTAAACCTGAGAGTGCACCCGCCTTTGCTCCCAGTGACTCCATGACTGSCAGAGAAWCWGTCTTTTCCACCAGAGGAGTTGGAGAYARTTAAAAGTASTGGGGCAGAGGAAAGAGAGGATAATTGGTTTACAAGGGATGGCAAATAATGGATACCAAGAGCTTTAGCCCAACAAATATTAAAAGAACCCCATGAAGGGAGTCATTGGGGTCCTGAGACTTGGCAAAGGCCTTCCTCAAGATGTATATTGCTGTAGGTCTTTTTAATCTGGCAAAACGAGCTGTTGAAGGCTGCTTGGTTTGTATTAAAGTCAATAGCCAGTTACRAAGAAACTTGTCAGGGGAAAGAGGCCTTGGGCTCTATGTCCCTTCCAACGATGCCAGGTGGATTTCATGAAATGCCCCAAGCGGGAAGATTCTTAAGTATCTTCATGTAATAGCATGTCAGCTAACAGGGTGGCCAGAAGCATTTCCAAGTGCTTCAGCAACTTCTAGGTCAATTATTGCAGTATTTTTGGAACAAATAGCTCCAAGATATGGGATTGTGGAAGTAACAGACTCAAATAGYGGAACTCATTTTTCAGGAAAGATCYTTCAAGGGGTTATGGCTGTTTTAGGAATACAATGGAACCTCCATACCCACAGCACTCCCATAGCTCAGGCTGAATAGAAAAAAAATAATAGAGAAATAAAGAAACACCTTTGGAAGCTGCTGATAGAAACCAAGATGCTATGGGTATGACTTCTGCCATTAGCTTTGGCAAGAATGAGGGCCAGACCCAGAAGAGATATTCAATTATCTCCCTTTCAATTGAAGTTTGGAATTACCCTGGTAATTCTCATCCTAGTAGGAGAGTGGAAATTAGTGATGCATATTTAAAACAATATGTGGCCAGGATACTGTCTGTAATGAAATCCCTTCTACAGGAAGCCCAGCTGGCACAGACCCTACCTTTGGATTTTGCTGTTCATAACATCCGACCAGCAAACTAAGTCCTAATTAAGGAGTGGAAAGAAGCACCACTGGTGGCAAAGTGGCATGGACTTTCCAAGTATTACTGACCACAGAAACAGCCATCAGGATAGCTGAATACAGGTGGACCCATCATGCTTGGGTTAAGGTCTCTGAAGGCTCCAAGATTTGGACAGCTCAGCTGGAGGAGAAGGATGGAAGGCCATGACTGACACTCTGCAGGAGCAGACTGGAGCAGTAGCCAGTGCATCGACATCGAGGGAAGCCCATGTGCCTACCCACAGACTGTCTGCTGAAATMATCTATAATGGGCATCCCTCCTCTGGGGTCTCCAGTCACTGGGGGGCTAATACTTGCTGTCAATGTTTTATATTAAGTGGTTTATGTGCCTTCACTGATGCCTGATGATTTTTGCTTTTCTTTTTTACGCTTTCTCTCTCCTCTATGCATCCGCCTGTACCCCTTAGCCCACATATTTGTAATTCCTGTAGCCTGATATTCCAGCTTAATTTAGGAGTTCTGCTAGAAAGAGAGACCAAACATCCTCAGGAAGGRGTCAGCRTGCCCTGTGCTATCTTAAACCCGAGGCTCCAGCCTTGGGTGAAGCCTTCTGTCCAGAACGTCCTGTGTAAACTGGGCTCTGGCCTCATCTGGGGKGGTTCATTAGAATAGGGGGACATTACTGCATTTGTGAAGTTTCTTATTGGGGAATCCTAGATAGATATGCTAATTCCTGAAACCTATAAAACTTGTACCCGTGCTGTACACGGGKGTGCATTCTGCCATCAAGTTGTGCACCTGGGATCCCAAATACCGAGGTAAAACCCTTTTTATCCCCTTAACCGTGTCTGTGCCATTATTAAAAACAGGCCTTTCAAGGCAACACACTTTCCACAGGTGGTGCAGAGAACAATATAAAAATTACACTGGGTAATTAGATTACACCATTAGAATGTTTTTCATAATATTAAAAATCCTACTTTTATATTGTCAGTTAGGTGGGAGCTGGGGTGGGAAAACAATTTTCAGTCTTAGGAGAAGAACTAGCAAAAACCTTTAACCATAACAATTGTGGGGTCAGAAGGGCCAGAAGGACTTTAAGACTGGCCCTGGGTGGCCAGCCCAGTCAAACCTAAATGATGGGTTAGCACACTAAATCRGACAGGATTTTGGCAACTTCATTTTTCCATAAAAGGCATTTTTTGCCAAAGCAGGAGAGGGGATGTATGTATGTGTGTGAAAAAGCCTGTATGACAGACTTTAGGTTTAGACTGTTGGACACCCAATTGCCTTCCTTATGATTGTTACAAATATCAAGGCAGATGGAATCAAACGAATGTTAAGTTCACTAATGGTAGCTGGGTAAAGTGCTCCTATCACACTGATCAGAAGGATTTTGAAGACTGTAAAACAGTGGGAAGGGACCTAAAACAGTGAGGAAAACCTAAAAAAAAATAGGTTTTTTTTGACCACCTGTTTTTAAGCTGCCYCTGAGACAATTCCRCAAGTAGAACACACAYGTTGTCTGTGACTATCAGTRGAAGYSGTGACATCWGARCRGAACTCAAACCCTTTTCACTGAGTTCTGGTCCAAATCCAACAATAATAGCTTGGGTATATAACTATAGGTAGAAACCTCACGTGGGAGGTTGGAAATACAGATATTGTGACTCTTATGGTAGGGCAGCTATTGTTGGAGGACCATTAGGTCCAGGAAACAAGCTGCATTTTGWCCCACCAATTGATGACAAAGGGTAGGAAAGCCCCTTTGCTAACACAACATGGGCCTTGAAAGGACAWCATTGGATTTGTGGCCAACATGCTTATTACAGGTTACCTCTGAACTGGTCAAGGATATGTTATATAGGGTAGATTAGACTGTTGTTCTTTTGCTACCACAAATTCAGGGAAATCAGCTGGGAATCAAAGCATAGGATGATTTAATCAGAGAAAACTAATCAACTGATGCATCCCTGGCTGGAGGGAGTGCCCAAAAATGGGGAAAAGATGAATGGCCACCAGCACAAATCATACAACACAATGGAGCAGCCACTTGGAATYCTAATGAATTAATWTCAGATGCTACAGAACCCATCTATAATTTGAATGGGATAATTAGGTTACAAGCTGTCTGAAATTATAACYAAYCAGACAGCTCCAGCTCTTGACCTTCTTGCTGATCAATCCACTCAAATAAGGAATRTGATATTTCACCATCGGATGGTATCTGATTACCTATTAGCAGAAGAAGRAGGAGTTTTTGGAAAATTAAATTACTCAAGCTGCTGTTTGCAAATAGATGACAATGGAAAAGAGGTAACACAGACAGCAAAGGAAATAAAGTTTAGCTCATGTATCAGCCCAGACATGGAAAAGATGGGAATGGGATATGTTTTCATGGTTATCTGGTGGACTATAGGTTAAACAAATGCTATTTCTCCTCATACATGCTATAGCAATTCTATTCTTTTTACCATAKGTGATACCTTGCTTAGTGCAGTCAATGCAGCAGGTGATCAAGGGGATGCAGGTGGTAGCCAGGCCTCCTGATCCAGAAATGGCTRGAGGACAGAAAATKATGTCACTGCAAATAATCACAAAACCAAAGAAGATCCAGGAAGAAAAGATTAAATCAATGAAAATTAAAGTTTGCAAAGAAAATTATTGAGAAAATGAAGAGACTAGGAGTTGAAAGGAATAAGATGAATGTGCCTTTACAAACAGACCATGTGAATCTGCTTCTAGATAGGGCCAGGGACTTAGGGAAGTAATGGAAGAAACCGTCAGTTCTAGAAAATGTTGTTACTCAACACTGAGTAATGTTATTACTCAACACTCAAGACTGTTGTTCAGCCAAAGCCATGTTAAATTCCTAAACCTAGAGAAAAAACCAAAGACTTTATAGAATTATATACAGAGTTCTGTTACATAAAACAAAAAAAAAAGGGGGGGGGGAGTGGCATGTGCATAGTTGAGGGGGACATAGAGTAGGTGATTCAGGAAGTCTGTGCCTTCCGAGTATCTCAGCCAACAGGGAAAGGAAGAGGGTGATGTGTCTAGAAAATTAGGACAAAAAGGGGGCTGTTGCCACCCCCAACAATTTGAGACACCTCATGGGAAATACCCCATGGCCTCTCCCTCTATTAAAATAAAATTACAGGACTYCTCTGTCTCCATTTTGGACAGAAACCTCTGGTGTTGTGAATTTTTCCACACAAAATGTTAGTATATTTTTTGTTTTAAAAGTTAYAACTCTAAGACAAGATGTCTATTATTCTTTTTTACACTTAGGAGTTTCAAGTGTGTTTATTTTCATGTAACAGTCTCTTCTTTATACTTACTGGTAAAGCTATCTGTTATATAAGTCTCTGCACAGAAACAAGTTGCTCATGTATGCAAATAAGAGCAAAAAGACCAGGAGCTGCGTACACAGGTGTGGTCTTTGAAGTGGAAAATCAYAGCAAAGTAAGACAAGAATGACAAGAATATGTCAACAAAGATAATTCACCTCCARACTAGAGGGATGGGGGAGAAGAATGCTAAGGTGGCCCAAAGGTAACCTATGACTAAGTAGCAAAGTAAAAATCACCCCTGAAGCATCTTACATGCTAATGTCAAGCACCTTGGTATAGTGAGGATGGCACTGATTGAAGCATGTGCAGAGAAGCACTGGTTATGTTGACCAGTGAACAAGTTCTGTGCAACTTCTTTGTTGTAACTTGTATAAAAGCCTGCAAACTCCCCAAAGCTTAATGAATTATAGCCTAGCCCTAATTCTGGGCAGAAGAACATGAAAGGTCTCAGTTCTGTGTGCTCATTGGTCCTGCACTGGGTACAGACCTCAGCCCCAACTGAGGGACAACAAATGTAATCCATACAAAGCCATCTGTGTCACCCAGATCTAGAAATTCATGTCAAAAGAGAGGCAGAACAAGCACCAACACAAGATTTCAGTRCTGCCAGGTAGTAAACTTCTTTCCTTGTAAGCTAAATGTAAGTCAGTTCTAACACCACCTTTTCAYAGCTTTAAACTGAAAAAGCCACATTTAAATTTTAAGTGATCCCAGGACATCTTGCACATTTTTGGCTAGTGAAATGAAGATTTCCAAGTTCTTCATTAAATGCAATCACCTTGGACTAAGGAGATGCTGTGACTCATTGGTACCAGTGCAAAATACAGCATTTTGGGAGAGGATTTGAAAAATAAATTATACCAAAGGGGTTCAGCCAGGCACAAAGGAAAAATTTCAGGCTGTAATATGGTCAAGCCACTAGAAATAGGAAAGTGAATTCTTAGAGGTACGAAAGGTACAGTCATGGAGTTGTGCTGCTTGGAGCACCACCTTTGTACACTGAGCTGCCCCAGCTAAGGCAGTGCTAAGCCTTCCTGCAGCTGCTGTTTTTTCTTCCAGGTTATCATTTAAATTGCACTCCCTGCTTAGCAATGATGCTGTRAAGACAGATGTGTATTTAAACACCTGGAAAAGGAAAAAGAAACAGCATTCCTAAAGGAAGAAAATACTGCTCCTGAAAAGAGATGTTACTTACTGCTGTGACATCTCTGAAGAACTGGGTGGGGTCTCCAAGGCCAGCCACAGACAACAGAGGAGCACTGGCAGCTAAYGCTCCAGCCACAATGTTTGGGTATTTCATCCTCAGGTAAGCACTCAGCATTCCTCCATAGCTGCCAAGGAGACACAAGAGTTACTCCCTTTAACAGATAACTTATACTGTAAAACTCAGAAGTTCAGGCCAACATTTACAGACTCACCTAACCCAGGGTAACAAGAAACTCACAGATATCCGTGATGTCTCACATTCTCACACATGCTCTGTGATATGCATGATGGTCATGGATATCTGTGATGCTTTGAGCCTCATCCTCATATTGATCCAGTTTTGCCAGTGAGCAGCACCCCATGCTCTTACTGGCTTTTCTCCAAATGCTCACACCAACTCTGGTGGGAACACAGCAGCTCAGAAGACAAATGAAAATCGGTATTTAACTTTACACCATCCTTCTGAGCACATCCCTGCTAGTTTCACAACAGAGCAAAGGGGAGCTTGAGTGAAACACTCACTGTTCAAAGAGAGAAGATACCCTGTACATTTTGCATACAGAATGACAAGAACTAGTTAGAAATAGTCAGAACTTTGCCAGGTTTTGTCAAATAGCGTCCCTGAACATGGCACAACTCTCAACTCCTGGAAACTGGGAAGTACTCTCCCTGGGCACCCCAAGTAACAGCTCCATAGYTGATCAGCACAGATACAGGGAAGGGGAAACATTAACAAATGCCACAAGAAAAGTCAAAGCCACCTTGGTAGCTTCAGTGCCAGGGCCACAATCTATACATGACTCAAGAGCTGCTACATAGATCCAAGATTACAGAAGTCATTAATTTGCCTTTGGCTGTGGAGTTCCTCCGAGGCCATCAGGGGGGGCAAAGGTCACAAAACATAGGTTAAACCTGGTCTAACTCCAAGCTTAAAGGCACTCCCTCCCCACCACCTCCAGTGGTTGCAGCATACATCATTCCCACAGACTCACGTGTAAAGCAATTTGCATTTCTCTAGCCCMGGTCTTGGAGACAGGGCTATTTATTACCTGAAACCTGCTGCAAGTAATTTCAGGTTAATTTGGCACAGTTATAAGCCCCAGAAGAAGTCTGTTTTTTCTCTTCCAAAGGAAATACTGTGCTTCTCCAGCACTGCCATATTTCAGTGTTCTTGATTTGGGTTTAGGTGTTCAGGGCTGCTGCACACCTCTCAATTTCACATATAGAGCTGCAGTCTAACATGCAGCCAACTAGGAGGTTTTGCTGAATCCCTCTCCCGCCTTCCAATCCCAGGACAATTCCTGAGCTTTWCTACACTAGCTAGTGTCCTGATAGTCACAGTATAAATCCCCATAAGATCAACAGTTCAGTCMCCACATCACAGCCAGCTGGAGGCTTAATGATAACTGTCAGATCAAATGCTTTTTAGTTCACTACAACTGAATTCAATTCCCCAGTCCATACACACAGCCAGGGTTGCCCCATCCTAGATGAAGAATCCAGCACTTGCCATTGGAAATTTTATAGGGCTAGTGATTTTCCACCTCTCTGATTTATTGAGGTCTSTTTGCAGGTCCTCTCTGCCTTCAAGGGAGTCAACGGCTTGTCCCAATTTAGTGTTGTTGGCAAACTGACTTYGTATTCCTTCAAGTCCTGCATCCAGGTCATTAACAAAGCTGCAGAAAAGCACAGGGCTGAGGATGGAGCCCTGCAGAATCCCACCAGTGACTGGACACCAGCCTGGTGTTACCCCAAACACTATAATTCTTTGTGCCAACCAGTGAGCCAGTTGCTCACCCATTATGTTATTCAGCTATATACTGGACATTTTGCCCATCAAAATCCTTGGGAGAGATAGCATCAAAAGGTTCGATTAACTCTAAAATAATGACATTTACTGGCTTTCATAGATCAATCAGGTGGGTTACCCCATCATAGAAGGAAAYCAGGTTCAACAAGCAGGACCTTCCTCTCCTGAAGCTGACTGTGACCAATGACTACACTGCCCTGCAGGTAGTTTTTCAATACCTCCCAGAATAATATTTCCCATGATTTTCCCAGACTYTACTGGCACTGAAGTGAGACTTACAGGCTTGTAGTTTCCAGGGTCCTCTTACTTGCCCTTTTTGAAAACTGGAACAATGTTTGCCAGCTTCCAGTAAGCTGAGACCTCTCTGGATTCCCAAGACTGCTCAAAAATCATCAAGAAAAGTTTWGCAATCACATCAGCAGCTCTTTGAGGATTCTTGGATGAATCCCAACAGGCCCCACAGATTTGTAGGAATCTAGATGGAGCAGCAGATCCTGCACAAGTTCAGGATCAACTGGGAGTTGATTATTCTTGCAGCCGTGGTGCTCCAGCTCAGGGCCTTTGGTYTGTCATCCATGTTGAAGACAGAGGCAAAGAWTGCAATAAACACCTCTGCCTTGTTTGTGTCCCTATATGCAGCTGATCATCCTCATCCTGGAATAGGCCAATGTTATTTCTACATTTCCTTTCACCATTAATGTATTTTAAAAATTCTTTTTATCGTTCCCAACAGTTCTGGCAGCTTCAACTCCAACTAAGCTTTAACCACATGATTTTTTTCCCTATAGTGGGGAGCAGTATCTTTGTATTCTTCTCAGGTCACCTGACCTTGCTTTCACGGGGCACACCACTTTCTTTTTCACCTTATTTGCAATACAAGATCCCTGTACAGCCAACCTGGCCTTCTGCCTTGCCTGCCTTTAGACATTTGGGAATTGCCACTCCTGTGCCCTTAACAGGTGATATTTAAAAAGTGACCAACACTGATGGATCCCATCACCTACAAAAATATTTTCCCTGGGAATTTTACTCAATAATTCCTGGAGGAGCCTGAAGTCTGCTGTCCTCATGGCCAGAGTTGAGGTTTTGCTGGCACTTTTCCTCCTGTCAACAGAGATTTTAAACTTGATGGCTTCATGGCTGCAGTGGCCAATAAAACGGCCGCCAATCCCTGTGTTGCTCACTAAATCCTTTGCTGACAAGCAGCAGATCAAGAATCTTTCCGAGTCTGTGCCACAAAGTTGTCATCTGGGTTTTTCAGGGAAAATTCTGGCCTAGACTGTACCAGCTATGTGATCTTCCCCACTGATTTCTGGCAAGCTGAAGTCCCCCATAAGGACATGGAAAATTGACTTGAAGCCACCCTTAGTTTCTCGAAGTATAATTTGTTGGCATCATGGTCCTGTCTGGGAGATCCTAAGTAGACTCTCACAGTGACATCTGCATTATTTTATCCATCCATTGATTCTTACCCAAAAGCTTTCAACTGYCCCACTGCYRGTCATGAGCYCCAGACATTCCAGCCCTTCCATTACATACAATGCCATCTCCCCATTTCCTCTGCCCTGCCTATCCCTCCTGAASAGCCTGTAACCATCCAACAGGGCACTCCAGTCACAGGATTTATCCTACCAGACTTCACTTTTGTCAGTAGKGTCAAACCTGTGGGCCTGGGCCAAAGCTTTGAGCCCCTCTTGGTTAATCATCATGCTGCATGGATTAGTGTAGACACATTTTAGGTGAGCTTCAYTGTAGCCAACACCTCATGAAGCACATTGAGGGACCCCATTACTGTTTGTTTCCTCAAGTTCTGGCACACCATTCTATTGCTCATCACTGGCAAGYCTGGTATTTTCCCTTTATGTTTCCAAAATACTTTTTTTTTTCCGCAGTTCTGGACGATTCATAAATTGAAGAAGCTCAGAAACATCCAGTCAGGGGTGCTTCTCCAAAGCAACCACAAATGGAGACTAATGCTGGATGGAAAAGCAGAGTGGGACCTGGTGATAAGCTCATGGGAGCTGAGGCACAGGCACAGCTRCTCTCAACAGGATAGCTTAAAGCTCTGCCCTGAGAACTTCCTTGAGAGCTCTATGAGGCCAGGATAACTTTGGCTGGGAAAGGATGCAGAAAAGGGAAGGAGCCCACATAACACCTACCTGCCTCCAAAAGCAATGACAGGGCAGTCTGCAGCACCAAACTGCTGCTTAAGCTCAGTAATGAGCACTGCATAGTCAGCAAGGGCTTGTTCCACGGTGAGCAGACCCATCTTCTTCAGCTGTGTTGACTCAAGTCCAAACGGAAGAGATTTCCCATAGTACCTCTGAAATGAAAGAGATACACTGAGGCAATGCTGGTCTGGGTCTTTTCTGCTTTCACCACAGAACTGGGTTAAGTGTGCACTAATAGGAAGAGATAACAGAGCATAAGGTGTCCTTTAACTGCAGAAGTGCCTTATCTACTGCACCTGACACACAGAGACCTTCAGGACAGATTCTGGAGAAGATGGACAGTACATGACAAGCTGCTTCAGTGGGTGCCAAATGGGTTCTCAGCACGTGTGTCTCCCCTGACATCCCCAGCTACCAAAAGGGAACAGGATAATCTCTTCATGCCTACACTGATAGATGGTAGATTTAATAGTATGGGAAAGGTTGGCTTGGGACTTTGTGGGCTAAAGACATTAAATATTACCCAAAGTATCTCTCTAATCCAACATGGAGTTCAAGGCCTGTAGATACTACTTACAAAAGCAATGCATTCGTGGCATAGACTCTACTAAAAAAAACAAAAACAAAAACAGCAGTCTGTATCCTGGAGTGGTGCGACATAGTAAAAAATTATTCAAAAACCATGATTAAGTAAAGATGATCTGCTGTCATGGAGAGAAAGCTGTAAGCTTTCTCTTATGAGCAGGTCCCACTCAGCTTCATGGCAAGGAATGGTACTAGKATTCCAGACCTGCAGAAAGCTGAATTTGGTAACACTGAACACAACAGGACTCTAAAGGATGCATAATGATTAAAATACTCACATGTTCAGCAAAAATGACAAGTGCTTGCTGTTCCTCTGCTAATTCAAATATGAARTCAGAGTTCTGAGCAAAGGTCCAGATGTCACCTTCATTGCCAGTATAGAAAAAGATGGGCCCAAATCCTTTCTTCCAGAACTTTGCTGAGGCAATTGAAATAAAACAAATTAAAAATTTTTAAAAAAAAACAACCCACAAAAACACATAAAATCCCCCAAAACACAATAAACAACTTATGCATGAAATGAGTCAATTTTTGGTGAGTTTGGGCAGGAGCTTAACAAGGAAGAACTCTGTGAACAGGCCGATTCCTGAGACCTGAGATGGCACACAAAGGTGACAGAAATGTCAGGCTCCAGAAATCTCTCATTTGGGTGGGGGTACATAAGAGCTTCCATGAGATCAGTACATGGCCTGAAAATTTCACTTCCACCTGAAAATACCTAACATCTCAAGTTCTGCAAGTCATTTGCAGACAGCTGCCCCCCAAAAGAGTGATTTCCCATTTACATACGATTTTTAGCCCAACTTACTCCAAAACACTTGCACAGATCAATTTTTACACAAAACTGGCATAAAGGAATTGCCTGTATCTTTCTGCTGCTCCTGCTGAAATGTATAAAGTTGCAAATTACCTATCATAGGATGGTTTGAGTTGGGATGGACCTTCAAAGACCAGCTAGTTSAAGCCCTCTGCCATGGGCAGGGACACCTCCCACTAGATCAGGTTGCTCCAAGCCCTGTCCATTCTGGTGTTGAACACTTCCAGGGATGGGGCAGCCACCCTGTAYCAGGGCCACCTCACCCGCACTGAAAAAAATTTCTTCTTTACATGCAATCCAAATCCACCATCTGTCACTTCATACCATTGTCCCTTGTCCCTTCTTTTCCACAAGCCTTAAGTGCTGAAAGGCCRCAATAAGGTSTGCCCAGAGCCTTCTCTTCTCCAGGCTGAACACACCTACTCTCCCAGCCTGTCTCCAGAGCAGAGGGGCTCCAACTGTCATGGGATGAGWGGAAGYTTCAGACAAGCCTTGCCTTAGCCTCWAATTTTGGCAACAGTTTTAAGAAATCACGCTGGCTCACAGTTCTAATGATRGCAAATCAGATCTATTTATAAAAAWGAATTATTTATTAAACAGRCAAGAGATAACAGACAAAAGATCTTAATCAGAATTACTCACTACACAGCATAAAACTAAAGAACTACTAGTAGATAAAGCATAACATAAAATAGTGCACAGTATCAAGGTATCTATAAAGCTGACAAAAGAAATAGTATTGACTAGGAGTCAAATGTAATTTACCACCAAAATGATGATAACGTACAGAGATTCCTTCACTTAACCCCTGGGRAGTAACTGCAAAACAGACATCCCCTGTTTATGGGAGAAACTCCACACATTTCCAGAAAAAATTATAGCAGATTTCTGCTTTGTGGAAGTTTGGGGTGGCTTTTATAGTTGTAAAGTGAATGGCTGTCAGTCAGTCAAAATCCAGCTTATCTTGTCAGATCTCACTTCARCAGTAAGGTATTTATTGGCAGTTGGGAAATGCCAGACCAGTGWTAACCCCATGGCCCAAAAATCTCTCTACAACACAGCTTGTCCTGTTTGAGTTATCTAACTGGCTAACAAACAACAGATAAGCTCTTGGGAGAGGATGAAATGCTCTGCTATACCAGCTCTCAGATCATGTCTCTGGCTCCTCTGGACTCACTCCAGCAGCTCCACACCCTTCCTGTGCTGAGGTCCYGGGCCTGGAGGCAGCTCTGCAGATGGGGTCTCACCTGAGCAGAGCAGAGGAACAGAATCCCCTCCACACACACACCTGCTGCCCACACTGTGGGGATAAGCCCAGGACATGCTGATATATCTTATATATGTAAMACACACACATATATACATCTCACATGATATGTCATGCATATATATGTAGAGGATGGTAAATGAAGACAATGTACTTCATCCTCAGATCAGTTTATAATTGAAGGCAAATTGAGTTGGGCAGGACAARCTGAGCCGTGATGCCAACACTAGCTTATCTAAGAAACAGTTACTCTAATGCTTGCTGACTTTAACAAACATTTGATTTTARCTTAGTCATAAATTACACATGACTTAAGATGGATAATAAATAGTCTTCTTCAATGACAAACCTCAGACCATCAGTTAACTGTTGATTCCAGCACATCATCCAAAGGAACCCTCCACAGCAGTTCACAAGTGCACACYGCTGTCACATGAGGCTGTTTCCATGAACAGAGAGGCCCAAATTTAATTCTTGGCATTCTCAGCACAGATTTTCCAAAGCCAGATTTGGCTTGGAATGGGATTTGAAGCTTTTCTTTAGTGAAACTGCTGTTCTTCATTCAACAAAGAGGCTGACTGACTCACTATGCTGCAGTGTTCTCTTTCCTCTGGCTCTTCTCCTGATATGCTTCATGGCTTCTGGAGTAAACAACTATCACAGGAGCCAAAAGCAAACCAGATAGGCACCTTAAAAAGGTATCTATTTTTAGACTGAAATCCTGGGGAATTGCCAGCTAAACTGAACAGTATCAGATGCCCTGTTGTGAAACAAGTCTCTAACTTCTTGCTGATAATCTGAAAAGTCTCATATTGCACAAAAAAAAACAATAGAGGGAAATGGAATTACAGGAATTTTCAGTAAGAAATTCTCTATAAGCCAGCAAAACTGCAATTTTGCTCCTCACAAGTATTATTCAGCTCTGCCCAGGACACACAGATAAAACATAACACTTTTTTAAAAAAGCACGTAAAACTTGCACAATGTTTTAAGTCATGTATTCCCAACATTCTGTTCAAAAACTGTAATCTCACCCTTGGGTATGCTCTCAAAATTCACTGGTGTGTCCATATCTTTGGGTTGAACTGATCCATAAATTTATGCCTAGTGAAACACATGAYTTGGCACAGGTGCTGAACAAGCTGCAGAGCAACAGGCAATGGGAAGGTGAGCTGCAGCCCTCACATTGCCTGGCAGGCAGCAGCAGGTGGGCACCAAGCTGGGCAGTGCTCAGGTCTGTTGCTATTCCCAGGTCTACTTCACTCTCTCCCTGCAAATTGCTCCCCAATTCCTCTGGGTAGGCAGGGTTGAAAAATATGCAACACTGGTTACAGAAATTGATGCTATTTCAATCACAKGCTGTTTAGAAAGGCCTTTTCTCTTTTACTGTCAGTGGCACAGAAGGAAGACACCGCTGGATCCTTGTTGGCACTGCTCATTGTTTGGCATGGATTAAGCTACCTACAGTTGCATAGTTTTAAATAACACAAACTACTGACCCAAAAGGAGTTGCTTTCAAGGASTTGCTTTTAGGAGTTGCTCCTAAAAATGACTAGTACAGAGTGCAACATTTCAGCCACTATTTGTTTTTCCTGATGCATTCAGAGCACTAAGTTGCATTTGTAAGAAATGCTTCCATCAAGGCACACACACAGAGTTAGCTCTGGTACAAGACTAACACAGCTCCTGTTTCTAGTATACTCTTTCTCCAGAGAGATCAGTCCCCACAATTCCCCCCTGCACCACACAGCCAGAACAAGCAGAAGGCAAGGAGTGAATCCCAGACTGGTTTGTGCTGGAAAGGACCTTAAAGCCCATCCAGTTCCACTCCTCTGCCATGGACAGGAACACCTCCCACTATCCCAAATTGCTCCAAACCCTGCTCAACATGGCCTTGAACATTTCCAGGGGTGGGGCAGCCACAGCTCCTCTGAGCAACCTATGCCAAGGCCTCACCACTTTCACAGGGAAGAATTCCTTCCTAAAATGCAATCTAACCCTACTCTCTTTCAATTTAAAGCCAGCCCCCCTTGTCCTATCAGTATAAGCCTTTGTAAAATTGAATGAAAAGGAGAAGAGGATATAGACAATGCTGGGGAACCCTTGGCTCACACAGAGTTGGTCCTTCACTCACACAGATTCTTGGCTGCCCAAGTGCTATTCTGTAGCTCCTGCTCTGCCTCGGGAGCGGGGCAGTTAAGGCAGAAAGGAATCCAGCCCGAAGTCACAGCATCCCCGGGACCTACCCGACACCAGGTACCGCTGCGGGAAGGTCTCGTTGCCGTAGGTCTCGAAGTTGAAGTGGTCCCGCACCTGCGGGAAGAGCCGCTCCTCCAGGCCAGGCCGCACGAGCCGGGCAGCTGGAGGGGACATCATCAGCACGGGGAAACCAACAACAGGCGCTGTCAGCCGGTGCGACACGAACCAGCCCGGGAACCGGGGCCCGGGGAAGTCGCAGCGCCCGCCCGATGCTCCCCAGGCCGGCTGAGGGCTCCGGCCCAGCGAGGCCGGCTCGGGGTCCCGCCCGGAGCCCGCAAAAGCAAGCGGGGGGTCCTGTCCATGGCAGGGCCAGGGCTCTGGCCCGGGAAGGAGGAGGTCAGGCACAGGGGTCCAAGGGGCGGAGGGGTAGGCAGAAGGGTCCGGCCTGAGACACTCACCGGGAGCGGCGCGGGCGGACGGTGACAGCGGGAGCAGCAGCAGTGRCGGGAGCAGCAGCAGCAGCAGCGGAGCCATGGCAGCGCTCCGTGTGGTGTGGACAGCGAGCGCTCCCGCGTGGCCGCCGGTCACGTGATCTTCGGCTTTCACATCACGTGGTGYCCAGCGTCCCTTCACGTGACCGCGCGGGCGGCGCTGCTGCCGCTGTTTGGTTGTGGCGGCTCCGCCCGCCCGAGTGGCAGCGCGGCTCCAGTTCGTGCCGCGCCGTGCCGTGCCGTGCCGTGCTTGCCCGGTCCGTGTGCTCCGCGGAGGGCTCAGGCGGCTCTCCGCTGCTCCCGTCCCGCTGGCAAACACCGCTGGCAAACAGCGCTGGCAGCAGCTGTAATTTCCACGTTGAGAGGCGGTCGCAGCCCCGGGCTCTGGCCGGGAAGCCGGCGTGCGGCTCGGGGATGAGGAGGGTGAGGCTCCACTGCACCGTCCTGCAGGGCTGAGGGAAGCAGCCGCTCGGGGGACGGGGTGTGCTTTGCTTGCTGCTCTTCGAACCTGTACGCTTGCCTCTTGGCACTGAATCGATGCACTCTTTGCAGGGACAAGTGGTGGTATCTCGGATCCACTCCGTGGTGTTGTGTTTGAGTGAGAAGGAAGAGCTGGGAAGGAGGAAAAGCCCAGCCAGCCCACAGGGGTCATGGGAGCTGGGTTCAGTGCCCAGGGGAGCCAGGGAAGTGGGAATGTAGCACCCCAGAAAATCGGGGAGGATCCACGCTGGGGTCTAACCTCTTCCGAGAGGAGCAATGGGTGAGGGAGCAGTAGAGGGGAGATCTGGAGGATGTCCATCACTCTTACAGGAGCATGCAGGTGTGTGACAAAAGCAGAGCATGTCACCGTGGTGGCAGTGGAGGCCCTGCAAATGGGCATACTGGAAAGAGAGGGAGCTTACACTGCTCTGAGAGCAAGCCAGGAGCAGCATGAAATAATTTCCTAGGTGATTTCTCTAGGTGTTTTGTTCCAGAGGAGGCCCCAGCAAATACCCCAAAGAAAATGCTGTGCTTAGCAAAATGGGAGGTGGAGAGACTTGCATTGCAAATTGGCCAAGGCTGGACCTGCCAGTGTGGCTGTAAATAAACTTAGTTACTGTCCTTAAGCTTGATCTTGTTATGCCAGCTGCTACATAAACATGCTTAAAAAGTCTGGCTTTACCCCAAAGRGTTGGTATATTGTCAGCTTATTCAAAATGTTGCAGAGACAAGATGTCTTTGAGTGCTATAGAAGTTTGTGTTTTATAGAAGAAGGATTTTAACTTACTGGATATCTAAAGAGCCATTAAAGGAAGAAGAATTTAAAGGATGTGATAGTGCAGAAACAGAACTTTCATATCTCCGATTACCGTCTGCAGSCATACAGTGCAAATGGCAGTGTGGAAGATGGGCTTGTGTCAGGCAGCCCAAGATAGCATGGTGTCAGGCACATATGACCTGTCCTAGTGCAGTGAAAGGACAGCTCCAGTGATGAGCGAGTGGCTTTGGACAGGGCTTCTCTAGGACTGACTTTATCTTTAGGTTCCCATGTGATGATGTAACAGAGATCTTGCCTACTTCTCTGAAACTTAGGAATAAGATTTATCCCTGACAGACAGGTCACTTGATAGGAAAAAAAATGGGTTTTGTGCATTAGGACTTAAACAGTCTTATGCTTTCTTTATGAATTTAATATAATAAAATTATTATACTCAGAGAAGTTCTGAGCAATATTTCAAGTAYATTATTTTAAAATAATTTCCYGCCCTCCCAGGTTTGGGCTGTCAGTAAAGTGTCATAACTAAGGTTTTAAAATCCCTGATTTTTAGGGRGTCTGTTTWWWAAAAAAAAAACTRTTAGGGATTGGTACTCTTGAGCAGGTTTATTTCTGCAGAGGGTGAGATCAAGCCACTTTCTTCTCATCTTGTTGGAGAAAATGCTGTGACATAGGAGGCTTTTYTTCTTCATAAACCACTGGATAGTCTTCAGAAGTGTTCGTTTAAAATCTGAAATGATACAAAGAAAACACATTAGCAGGAAATTGTTTGCTTTTGCAGTGGGGTGGAAAGGCTGGAAYTCATCCTTGAAGTGGGTCCTGTTTGAGCTCAGGGTGAATTGAAGATTGCTGCTTGCAGCAGGATTAGAATCTTACTTTTAGACCACTGCTTATCTGAATTCTGCATGTAATCAAGGGCTTTAAGGGAAACAGAAAGGATTTATACTCATTGCCAAGCTTTATGAAGAGGTTAGGGAAATCCATGAGGTGACACGGGCAAAGACATTCAGGCTGGGGTGAGAAAAATTTCTTTCACTGAAGTCTTTTGTGTAAACAAATCCTAATAAAATAATACAATTAAAAAGATTCTTAGTATATTCAAAAATTAAAGTACTTGCTGGTGGATGCGACAAAGAGACAAAGGCTTTCCAAGATCTGTTAATAGAAATAATCTTGTTTTGTCCCTCCCCTGTCAATAATAAACTCATCCCGAGATAGCAAACTGAGAAGGCAAGTCCTCCTCAGGTGATGCGTTCTGACTGTCAGCCCTGGGGAGCTCCAGCTGGACAAATTCCTTSCAATCTTTCTTGGTTGGACCCTTGGCCACAGTGGGATAAAGGAGTAGCTTGCAGTGACCTCTGGATCCAGACAGTGCAGCCCTGTGTTTCTAGATGGCTGCATTTGTGTTTTGTCTGTTCATTTAACATTACACAAACCCTTCTGTCTGCCTCAGGTTAACTGTTCCAAAGTTCATGTTCTCTGAAAGTGGAGAGATCAGACACTTGTCCTCTATGAACTAAGCAACATGTCTTTCTCTTATCACCTGTGGCACTGCACTTTGTCTGCATCAGTGACTGTTGACTGTGTCAGGTAAGGAACAGCTGGTGTAAGGATCCCCGAGTCCTTGCTGTCAGGATGAGAATGGGATGTTCTGACATTGAAGATAGGAAGAGGGGTTAAGTATACAGTCAGATTATAAAATTAATTATAAATAATAATTGTGTGTCGTGGTTTGAACCCTGGCTGAGTGCCAAGGCACCCACAAYGTTTCCCCCCCACCCCCAGGAGAGGCAGAGGGGAGAGCAAAACCCTAATTAACCCAAAGATCTATGGCTTTTAGATAAGATAACAGATTGAGAGATTTTCATGCTCCATGATGGTCAAAACAGGCATGAAAACTTAAGTTGCAAATTTATGAGGAGGAGGAAAAAAAAACCCGGATGGTTTAAGATGCCTGTTTCTCTCCTGTTTTGCCCCTCACCCCTCCCACCTTCCCACACGCAGGGGGAGCAGGGGATGGGAGTTTTTCTGGTCAGTCCATCACCATGGTTGTCTTCCATCTCCATAGGAGAAGGGTTCTTATCCAGCTCCAGGCTGTGGAAGTTCTTTTCCCAGGAACGGGCAGTATTATCACTGCTGGTGGCATGGGATTTTTTTTCTTTATCTCATCTGTGGGGGAGGGAAGCAGYCCTCCAAGGCTGGCTGGCTCCATAATCAAATAGGGAGCAAAACTTTACTCTTGAGTCTGAACACAGCTCCCTCCAGGCATTCACTCACTCTGGGTGTGAGCCACCACCCCCACAGCTACAATTGGTCCTCCAAGGCCAAGCCACTTCTATCTCAGGTCTCCAACTGGACACGGTCACCTCAGGAACAGCTTGTTTTCCTTCATGATCACCACCACAGCTTGCAAAGCACCACCTTCTCCTCCTCCTCTGCCTCTCTGACCCTGATACCTCTTTTTTTTTTTCACATCTCCTCAACCTCCTCCTCCATCCTCCCCTGTGCGGGGAGGGGACTGAGGCTAAAAGCTAATGGTAGCTGCAAACTAACTTGTTTTGAATTCTTAAATATGAGACCATGTGTCATTGTAGGGATGTAACCAGTATCTTGAGTTGGCTCAGGCTTGGCCAGCAGCTTGTCCATCACCCTCAGAATCATCAGAGATCGGCCCTAAAACACAGGGGGCAGGGTTTTTTTTTTTTTTTGCTGGACAGGATGCAGAAGACTTCTGGAATCTTCTCACAGGAGCCATTTTGGTGGTTTTGTGATCCCATCCCCTACCACTAAAAAGCTGGACCAAGCAAAACCACCACATTGTGTAACATCAGTTTTCCTCTTTGGAGGAAGTAGGATCAACGTATCTTCTTTTACAAAAATTCCCGTATCACTTCTGAGATCCAGCAGTATCTGTTCCTTGCTCAGAGGCATTCCAGCAGGTCTGCCTTGCTTCTCAGCTTGGGCATTCTGTGAGGCAGCAGTGGAAGTGTTAGGGCAGCCATGGGGTTTGGCTCTGTGTGTGGAAACTCAGCTCCTTGGTGAGCCATGGCTGAGAACAAGGTGTGCCAGTGCTCACCCATGKAAGTCCTGAGCAGCACCAAATGAGAGTGGAGCCTCTCTGACCTCTCTGCCGGCTGTGGTGAGTTCTGGCAGCACTGCCTGGCTCCACCTCCCCTGTTCCTCTGGCTTCTTGCTGTGACAATGTGGGGGGGCCCTGGCTGTTTTACAGCAGTATGAAAGTGTGGGGTTGGGCAAAGACATAGTGTTGTGAGGTACTAGCTGATGYGGTCAACTGCAGAAGTAAACGGGATTGGAGAAGTGGAACTAACCAAGTGTAACCAACGAATTAGAGTAAAGATCACGGCGCGTGGACATTGGAGGTTGTCCGATCATATGACTGGCTGAGATGTGTCTGATTGGCRTGACTGCRTSCAYGGAGGATAAAAAAGTGTATATAATRCATGCCAGMCTTCTAGTAAAGTGAATTTGGACCTGCATCGCTTGGAGTTYGCGTCRTCTTTYCTGCRGSCYGYGACATGGCAGCATGGAGCAGCATCGAGATTTGGAGCAGTSTTGCTGAGAGTGAGCATATGGTGAATGGGGACACTTGCTTTCTGCCTTGCTTTCAGCTGACAGCCTGGGAGCACTTCTGGGACAAAACCCCCCAGATTTATTTKGGAAGATGTCCCTCCAACATGTGGAGCAAGTGGAAGAATGTACAGGAGAAGGTGTTCAAGGATTGGAAAAGGACAGCATTGGACACTGGACAATGTGTGCTKTGCAGGCTCAAAAGGTAGCACAAGTGGGAAGCTGGCCCTGTAACYGCAGTGAGCCTAAGGTTACCTGGCCACTCCATCCTGTGTACACCCCATTCAGAGCTGGGAGAAGGGGGCATCCTGCCCCTGATCAGGTGCTTGTGGTCCCTCTCATGCACAGATTCATGCTGTT